TACCCTGGAGCTGACTGTGACCTCTGACCTCCCTGAGGGTTGACAAAGTGAAAGTTCATTAGTGTGTAGATCATTGATGATCCTGAGATCCTTCTGAAGTTCTTGATACTGAGTAGTAATATATTCTGCTAGCTCTGTACCACAGTATAGATACTGGTTTTAAAAGAAAATGTAAAAACGCACCTGCACCGAGAGCAGGATGTTTTCTTTTTTTTTGCTTCAACACTAAAAGAACTTGATGAGATATCTGAGTAATCCTGAACTTGTTTGTCTGAAGTGATGACCCACACAGTTACCTTTTACAGGCAATCGCCAGCATAGAAATGCTGCACCGCAATGTTTAGCATCTGCATTCTGAGTGAAGTGTGTTTTTTAAGGAGTTTGTCTGCTGGGAAGACTAATTATTTGTACGATATCTGACTACTTTGCTAATCTGAAGTGACATCGTGGTGGAAGAAGCGGGTCTTCCTTGATTTGAGGGGTTGTCTTGCTAAGACAGTCCCACCCTCTTTATCGTGTGATACCAGAAGTAATAGTCCTATTAGATTAGTTCCTGTCATCTATACCCCCCCCCAGAAATTGTTATAGTTTTGCGATGCTTCACTTAATCACACCAGTGGATCACCATTTCTTTTTGTCCAGTTTTTATTTCTGACCAAGAATTTGCAATGCTAATCTCAAACTGGGTCATTTGTAGGAACAGACAGAAGGCATGTGTGTTGTTCTGGTAGAGACTCACTTTTGATAAATTAGTTTGTTGCCAGATTAGGCAAGATTTACAGTTATTTCAGAAAGTTTGGCTTGTGCGTTTGCAAAGCAGTTTGACTTTGATAAGCAGTGAGACACGAGGGATTGATTAATCCCTCAGATCTCGCCCCCCCCCCCCCCCCCCCCCCCCCCCCTCTGCTTCCACGTGTCACTTCTTGTTTGAATCAGCTGTTCCATGCCCTGAAAACATAGCCTTCACATCAGTCTACGGTCAAATACAACACCAGAACACCCTCACTGGTTTTCCCCTTGTTCCTCTCTAGAGTTTTTTCTGCTAATTTCTACTTTAGCGCTCCTTGTGTCCCTCATGAGCATCCTGGTGCTTTCTCAGCATCTGGCTTTGAGATGGACAACTTACACAGAAACCAAACCCGTTTTTTTTTGCTGTTGTCTGAAACGTTGGTCACGTGAGCATCTTTATGACGACTTCAGCTCTTACGATGCGAAGTCTGCACAAGGCAGCTCTGTCTCCTGGCAACGTCCTGCAGCGCGCCGATTCTGCGTGCTCCATGAATCATGTCTCTGTGCTGATGTGGACAGCTGCCGCTCTGACCCAGTGGCTCTCCGTTCCACTCAGGAGCAGAATGGCTGCCTGGTCAGCTTCACAACATGTCCTGAGATTATTGAACTGCCCTCCCAAGCTCTGTCCCTCTTCTCCTGTGATTCCCATTGCTCCTTCCATCCCAACCTCCATCTCACCTCCTTCCCTGCTCTTCTTTCTCTCTCTCTCTCTCTTATTTAGATTTCAAATGAAAGACCTCCCTCCGTCTCTCCCGCTCCCGTGTCCTCTTTAGCTCAGACAGTATGAGGAGGGCATGCTGGGCTTATCAAAGACAATCAACAGACAGATCATTCAGACAGCATAATCCACTGGTGTGTTGAATGGTTTGTTCCGCAGAGAGTGTTGCATGCAAGATTGATTTCTAAACAGTTCGACCGTCACAGTTAGTTTTGATCTCTATCTTTGCCTCTATAAACTGTTGTCAAATCATGCCAGAGATGGTGAGCTTGGAGATGCACCGGAGTAAAGTTAGTTCATCTCACTGAAATCTTCTTACTGTAACAAGCTTACTTGTTGTGTTGTGGTTCCCATTCAGTGCTTTAAAAAGCTTGTCAACACTGGACCTTTTTGACTGCAGGACATTTGCCACCACAAGCCAGACCTGTTTTTTTTTTATTATTTTGGTTACGAGATCCATTAGTAGGTGGTCGCTTTACTTTACTGCAATTCATTTTTGATTGACTTGACTTGTTGTTTATATATTCAGAGCGTTTTTAATGTTTGCAAAAAGTAACAGGAAAACACAGAGAAATAAAAATGTGACATTTCCGGTTCACGTCAACATCACTTTCCTCTTCACACTTGCTGTCTTTCTGTCCTTGTCGTCCTATCAGCGTCTTTGCTCTTCTTCCTGGTGAGCTCCCTCCCCCTCTAAAGCTATTCAAATGGCACTTTGCAGGATTATCCCTCAGCCTCTGAGACGCGCTGGTTTGGTCAGACTTACCGACCACAGTTCACTGTGGTCCCAGCGGCCTAAGCTGCACAAATAAAGTTTGCAACAAATCCTTTATCTTCTAAACCATCAAGGACATACTTAAACTGCAGATTTCTACATCCTCAAGGAGTATCTTGTAAAGGAGTTGTCTTGTTTTTTTTTCAATTTGTGTTTTTTTTTTTTTCGTATGCGTCTGTTTTCACTGATGGAGCCAATTATGGTAAGCATATTCGCAGAGGAATGGTTTGAATCTTCAAAATGTGCAAATGTTTGTTTTTTTTTTTTTGGATTCGACACATCCTTCTCTGTTTTAACAGGCTGCTGGCAGAATTGAGATTACAGAAGGGATTGCTTTATCAGCGAGAGTTTTTGACATTGAGTGGCTTCACTGAATTGTGCATCCATTTAGACGAAAAACAGAATTATTTATTTCAATTATATGAGTGTCTCCTGCATTGTTCTCTGCACATCACTGAAAATGTTTGTAGTTTTTAATGTGAAGCTGACACTTGTTGATTCTGAGGGGAATGGGAGTTGAGTTCACGGTCAGTGAGGTGGATTGACCTCAATAACTGGATTGTAAGCCCCTCTACGTCCTGCGACACAGCGCTCTTTCACAATGGACCAGAACTTTGTCAGTGACGTAATCTGCTCATGCTGCATGTCCTGATAATCTCTGGCTCATAACATTTTCAACCACGCTGTTTTTTAATGTACAGTTTGAGCTAGTAAGATTGCTCCTTTGCTCTTACTTGTTCCAAATAGTCTCACCCCTGAAGCTCTCACCCTCGAGGAACCAAGAAAAAACTAACTGTAGGGTTATTTTCAGCAGATATGTGTGGATCCGCTCTCAAAGAATTATTGGTCTAAACCAAAGTGTCTCAAAGATGATCGTTGTGCTATATATGGTCCAAGTGTGTGAATTCTAGCTAAAGGAAGTTTGTTCGGGGATTCTGGCTACATGCCAGAGCTTAAATGGCTTTGATGTTAATAGGCATTGTAGTCATGGAGGCCTGAGCTTATTGGGTGACTACGCTGATGGACAGGCAGTCGGACCAATATTGGGTGCTAGGATTAAGAAATGCTAGTTTAGGGCTGCTTAGCATTTGTAGCTGCATGAGGCTGACTTGAATCAGTTACTGTGGTTCACTAATATAGATATTAAACAACATAAAGCTACCTGTTCACCTTGCAACATGTAGAAAGTTTATTTGGGGCCCCAAACATGCAATATATTGTTTTTAGTGCTGGTGAGCTGGTGCTGGTGCTAGTGCTAGTGCAGAGGCGGGTGGAAGGGCTGTTGATAGTAACCAGCGGCTTTGAGGGAACACAGCTTGGTTTCAGCCAGTGTTCTGAAGAAACACTCTGTGTCGCTGCAACAATAACCATTCACAAAGTTCGAGTGATGTAATATGTTCCACAACCTGTACATAAAATGCTGCTCTGGCTTTGTCAGTCTATTTTTTTCTTAAATGTATTTTTTTACAAGGACAGTTATGTTATTCAGCCCACATCCCAACTGGCTGCCTTTATTATTTCTTTCTTAAAGAATGAGTGATCTTGCAGAAATCTACTTGTCCTTGGCTGCAGAAAGAGGTTCAGGAATGAAGCATGAAGGGCTCTGGGAACATTTTGAGTTGTGATGCAGCGGCCGTTAGACTGCTGACTCAGTTTTTAATCTGAAATGAGTCATCTTTCATCTTGACCTCTACCAAGCATGTCAAACCTTCACAGATTTAAGACTCTGCATACTAATGGCAATTTGCAGAACGCCTTATCATTTTAATTAAAAAGAAATAGTAATACTGTTAGAAGTAGTTTGCACTGTTGAGGCTTGTGCAGAGTTTAGATAATACCTACAATCTTCTACAATTCATCGTAATTATGAAGACCAAGCCACCGTGTCTACCGGGAACTTTATTAACAGGGACTTATTCATTTTACATACTACTCCATAACGTTGATTATACTGCTTCTTGTTGCAGAGCAATAAAGTGCTCTGTGCCAAGGGAAGGGCATTAAGCAAGAGAGTAAAATGGATTAGTCCTCAGACACAGTTCAATACAAATATAGTAGTGTGTAGTCTCTTCTATTTTAACCTTGGTGGTGTGATATTGAATACATGTCAAAAGATAACTTTGAATCCCCTTAAATGCTTGAGGAACACCAGACTTCATCTAGTAATTGCTGATTAAAACACATCATGAGGAAACAGAAGGGTTTATGGATAGGTGACCTGATCTTTTAAATGTTTCTTCTTTCTGTGTATTAGAACATATTGCAATTTTATTTTGAATGTGTTTTTTTTGTGTGTTTTTTTTACCTTAACCCAGATGTAATATGTAATAATAGTAAGCAGAAACTGTTTTTACTCTGGAATGATTATGGGTCAGAGCTGTGCAAAGCTCCACTCACTGACGCTTCATTTCTAGGGCAACAAATATGATACGCCCTTTAAGATTCCTCAGGGCATCGCTCTGGATGCTTGGCAGAGGACACTATTTTTGTCTAATTATTATACAATTCTAGAATAGAAACCTCCCCCCCCAGTGAAACCTTTTCCCCTGGTTATGGGGGGGGAAACTGACATGCCACAGTTACACAGAGTCCTTCACACTGCTGCGCTCTCCCTGCCGCTGTCTCATGTTGTTGTTGTTCTCTTTCAGTGCATGAGGAACCCAGCTTTGCAGCAGAGGACAGGTTCAGTCTTTAGCGAGCTTTGCCACATCCAGGAAAATGTCTGGCTCCTACGATGAATGTGCAGGTGCTGACGACACCATGGACAGCTTTTGGGAGGTAAAGAGACGCCATCCTGTTTATTCTGATGGGCTTCCAGCCCGCAGCACAGAGCACTTCCCTCTTCCCTCTTCGACGGTTCCGTATTGATTTAGTGTCTGAAAATCAAGGAGTCATCATTTAAACTGTGACACTTCATCTACAAATGTCTCACCACCCATAAGGAGACTCTGACACCTGTGTAACTACACCGCAGTGGGTCAGTTGTCAGGTTGTGCTCCACATTTTGAGCGTGACAAGTACATAGATAGCTTTACACCTTAAAGGTTATAATATTGCTAATCATTAGAGGAGACTATATAACAGTTTTAAAAAAAGAAATATAGTAATTTAGTTATGGGTAATCTCTGAAAATATAAAAGAAATATGAAAATGTTGCCTTCAGATTATGCTGTTTTTCCAAAATTTCCAATCCTTCTGCTAAATTAAGATACTGATCACAGAGATGCTAGTCTAAGCATCTAAACTGCAATAATCTAAACTGCAATTTTGTGTTGTTCTGTCTCTTTGTGGCTTTATATAACAGTGGCAGAGTTTCAGAATAAAATCAGAATGAAACATTTAGGGTCACATGCATAAAGAAAAAATAATATTCAGAATTTGGTATTTATTAGAATAAACTGGTGATAAGAATCTTTTGGTCTCATTCTCTTCTAACATTTAGAGTAACAGTAAGATATGTCCTCCTCGCCTATTTACCATGTTATGAGAGTAACAAAGAAAAGACAGAGAAAAACTGTCTCGCTTTCAAAGACAAATGTGGGAATTTTAGCATCTGGATTTCATTAAATCCGACATTCTGGAACTAAACTAAGCTAGAGACCAATGCAGCTGTTCAAATTTTGAAATAACATTCAAAGCCTATCCTTGTCGATATGGAGAAAGCTGCCTTTAAAACCAACTTCAAATGTCATCAGCTCATTTAATTAAAAATTTGAATATTTACAGAAAACAGTATGTAATTTTATGCAAAACAATAGAAAATATATGTGTCTTCCTGCATGGTGAATAAGAGCTTTTTCAAAGAGTTGTGACATAGCATAACACAAAAGTATGATCAAACTGCAGAAGAAACATTTGCTGTAGCTCAAGATATGAACCGAAACAGTTGAATAAAAGTCACAGCACAGCCTTTGCACAAAACAAAAAGGATGTTAGACACAATCTTTACAATCTGCCACAGTTTTACATTCATCACTTATCTTTGGAATGTTTCTGGCTTTTGTTGTGCTTTGGTTTACCATAAAAGAAATAGATGTCTGCCCCCCCCCAGGCTTTTCAGTATTTTAAGCATTACATGATGTATAAGGGGCACAAAGCATTATTGTTATAATTTTTGTGATATAAATAAGAGGAATATATGAGCTCCATCTTCTACTTGAACAATGAACTAAGGAAGAAAATCAACAAGGCATATGTTTAGAAAATTACCATATTTGCTTGTTGCAAGTCACCAAATAAAGACTTTCTGCAGATAGTTTCTTACCATGTTGATTTCTAACTTAGATTTAGGGCATGTTTCCAAGCTAGGGTGCATTTTTACTTGTATTACTCATGTGCTGAGATTTGAAACTGTGTAAAATGGTACATTGTGAAGATCTGTACATCTAAAAACGTATTTTAGTCACTTTTTAAAGTTGTGTTTCATGTTGTCGATAACTGCGTAAAAGTAATGGATGTGGTACCAGCAATTAAAAACGAGCCTATGTAACATCCTCTGAAGCAGTAGAGGCATGGTTGTGTGTAAGCGTGTGTTTAAAAATGTGTGTGTGTGTGTGCACATTAAACCCACCAAATTAGAGATAATGAATTCCCTCAGTACAGAGTCTTCTTTGTATCGTTGCTCTTAGCCACCGAGGCTCAGACAAAGAACCTCTGTCATCAGACAGGGAGCCTTTCTCCACTCGCACCTGCCCATGGCATATGTGCCGCAGCTACACAACAAGGGTCAGCTCAAGATTAATAAATGCCACAAAAAAATAAATGTAATCTCCGCTTTTGTCATCAGAAAGGCTTCCGTTTCATCCGACAATGACGGGAAGCACAGCCATGCCTGATATTATCGCGCGCATAGGGGAGCTCAGGTGTGTTTTTATGGGTAAGACCAGTCCACCGACATGTTGACGTTGGTGGGACTTGGCAATCGGTCTCACAGGACAATAATCATACGGTCAAACACCTGTCTCGCAGTCTCCCTGCCGCTTTTTTATCTCAAACAGCATCCCCCATATGCGAGCTCATCTCCGGACCAATCAGTGTGCAGCGCTGCAGCCTGCAAACATGTCAGGCAGGCTGTGTCTGTCCGATGCTTTGTATGCCATACATCTCGAACCACACAAACGCACACACATGCAAGATCTGTGGTATTTCTGTCCCTACCTCGTCATCCATCCCCGAATCTGTCTGACTGCGTTACACCACTCAAAGGATTAAAGCTGCCAAAGCGTGTGCGCACACACTGGCACACACTAACGCACACATGCAAACACAAACCCATGTTATTGCATAACCACACATGCACAGGCACGAGTAAAGCCCCCCCCCCCCTCCCTTCACTACCCTCCCTTTATCATGCACCATGAGCTCAGCCCCCTGCAGGCACAGAAGAGGCGGAGTCACACAGCCTGCCACTGTGTTTTTAAGGCAGCCTCTCTTAAGGTGGTCAAATGTTTGAAAAAAAATGATGTGGTACATTTATGCAATTTCAACATTAGATTTGTATAATTTCAAAAAGTAAACATTTGGCTATATTTATACTGTAATATTAGAATGGCTAAAGCTGGTTTCTGCTCAGATTTCACAGCTGAATGAAAATGATTTATCGTTCAGCATACTTGGCATTTCATTTAGTTTATAAATAGGTGCAATGAATAAAAAGAAAAGTAAAGGTGCCTTTAACTACTGTTAGCCGGCTTGCACATCAACTATACAAAACATATTCCTCTTTACTTGCCAATTCAAAGCTCAGTTTTGTTTTCCTTTTAATTTCTTATGGTCTCTGATGTAAAAGAGCTGCTAGTACTAGCTTTGTTCCAAATAAAATACATGAAATATCAATTAATTGTTACCCATATTGATTGGTCAATGGAATGTTAATCAAAGAGAGCTAATAAAATAACTGCTGTTCCGTCTGTAGCAGTATGTGTGTGTGTGTGTGTGTGTGTGCGTGTGTGTGTGTGTGTGTGTGTGTGTGTGTGTGTGTGTGTGTGTGTGTGTGTGTGTGTATGTATAGTGAGGCAGATTAGCAGTAAGACCTGGCATTTGTGTCTCTGTGCTCAGGTGGGGAACTACAAACGTGCTGTCAAGAGGTTTGATGATGGCCATCGTCTCTGCAATGATCTCATGAGCTGCCTGCAGGAACGTGCCAAGATAGAAAAAGCCTACGGGGATCAGCTAACTGCATGGTCCAAAAGATGGAGACAGCTTATTGAGAAAGGTCAGCTTTTTAAAAAGACGATTCAAGAAAACCCACAGTTCAACAACCTGAATATACCTTTCGCCATCGCCTACTTTCACACAGTTTGACTTTTGAAGTCTGTATGGACATTTTTGACCAAATTCTGAGTTGAATTTCTCATTTGAAATGTTTCACTGTGTGCGACTCCCAGGTCCACAGTATGGCTCTGTGGAGAGAGCCTGGTTGGCTGTGATGACCGAAGCAGACAAAGTGAGTGAGCTGCACCAAGACGTGAAGAACAACCTGATGAATGAGGATATTGAGAAAGTGAAGAACTGGCAGAAAGAGGCATACCATAAGCAAATGATTGGAGGCTTCAAAGAGGCCAAGGAGGCCGATGAAGGCTTCAAGAAAGCTCAGAAACCATGGGCCAAAAAGCTCAAGGAGGTAAGGTGGATACAGATTACTAATGATGAGTTCTGTCTCGGGGGTAAGACTAAAAACCTTATTTGGTTTCAGTAAGCCTTTGCCAGAGTTACCTGTAAGCAGTTGTTTGTTTCATGACAATCTAGAGAATTCACTTGTGGTCAGCACACCTTGTCCTTGTGTATCTTATTTTCTTATAACGCAAACACAGCTGATGGCTTGTTGAATATTTTTAATCGACAGATGAATATATATACAAAACATAAACCATACCAATGGAATCATTTTCAAATACCAACATGCTGCTTTGGTTCTAAAAATGGAAAGTTAACAGGAATGTGCAGAGTATGGGAAGATGCCGACATATACTGAGATAAGACGCAGCGTGTCCTTTTGGTCAAACCAGACCGTGTAACTGTCATACTGAGAATGCCTGTGTTTGGATGTGCAGATGGAGGCAGCTAAGAAAACGTACCATATGGCCTGCAAGGAGGAGAAGCTGGCTGCAGCCCGAGAGGCCAATGGCAAAACCGAGGCTTCTGTCACACCAGACCAGCAGAAGAAACTCCACGAGAAAGTGGACAAATGCAAACAGGATGCGCAGAAGGTAAAGACTCCTGGCGTTGGTCTAGTTTAAGCGGCAGAAGTTCAGATTTCTGATGGTACAAATAGCTTTACACTAATCTTGCAGCCAAAATATGTTTGCCTGGTCCACAAGATAGCTTACAATGCTAGGACAAGCTCCCCCATAAGGCTGCTGGTTTTGAGTAACCTGAGAGGGTTTTAGAGCATCACAACAGATAGATATACTCTAATCAGCTATTTATATTCCTTCCTGTAAGGGAATTAGGCTTTTTGCCATGTTTCTAATCAACTCATTGTCCTCCTCAGGCTAAAGAAAAGTATGAGAAGTCTCTGGATGAGTTGAACAAGTGCACTCCGCAGTACATGGAAAGCATGGAGCAGGTCTTTGACCAGTGCCAGCAGCATGAAGTCAGGAGGCTGACCTTCCTCAAGGAGGCCCTGCTGGACATCAAACGCCATCTTAACCTCACCGAGAACCAAAGGTTAGCCAGACCGAAACCGAGACGTTTTAAAACGACAAGACACTTTGGCAGGATTTTGGAGGTTTTGCATTCACTTAGAATGGAGGGAGATCTTCAGTTGCGCCGTTGAGATCTGGGATATTTGTTTTGCTTGGAAATTTGAGAAGACCTGCAGCAGCATAGTTACGCTCCGATCACTGTGTATTACATGTAACCAGTTGTTTCTACAGTTCCACACGTCAGGCCCGCTTAAAGTATTGTGTAAATGTGAATCAGTCTTAGAGAAGAACACACCTGCCTTCATTGGGACACACGAAAGAGAGCTGGTTAGCAGCAACTGAAATTTCAACATCAGAAATATTCTTATTTCCCCAGACCTCCCTGCTTAAAATCAAGTCGAATTTCATTGAAATAATTTTACTTGAAACTAGGCTCAATTTAGAAGGTTCTGTGCCTCTTCAATAGTGAGGTTTAGCCCACGCTAAATAAGGTAGTGAATCAGAAAAGCATTTGTGAGTTCTCTAAAAAGAAACCTTTTCATGCCCCTTTGAGACTCTTTTTCAAAGCTGCTGTAGGTGGCTGTACTTGAATTTGATCCTCTTCCACTAAATGAACTCTATTGTATATTTGGCTTTTCATCTTGTCCTTTTACACCTGTATTTCAAGTCCTTGAAAATTGTCAACCTAAAGAATGTATAGTTTACTTCAATGCACAGGGAGCAGATGTAGACATGCTGAACTCGCTTTAAACCTCTTATGAAAAATAACCATGCTACAAATTTATGATCAATTAGTTTGTTTTGTCTCGTGTGGCATTCAGCACAGTTCATTTGAAATTAATTAATCTCCATACAAGTATCAGCCAGCCATGCATTTCTCATTAGCATTCAGATTCAAAACGCTTAATAACTGATGATTCCGTCAATAGTGTCTCTGCCGCAATTAATTTTGTTCTGAGCGAGTGCTCGTCATATTCTGGGCTGGTTTAAGCTGCACGTGATAACCAGAGGCAGGAGCCATGGCAAAATGATTCTCAATCTTAAGCGAACCTGCCAGCGTCGGTTACAATAGATTATTCAAGGCATACTGGTTTAATCGGTAGTTCTTTCATTTTCACACTTTTATACAGCACTCAAACCAATGTTTTTATTCCAATGTATATTTCATGTATATGTTCATTTTTAACCTATCTTGCTGATTGAAAAAAAAGTTTTAAAAACTTTCATTTTGGGAAACAGGAGAAATAAACAGTTAAATTTTTTGATAAAGGAATAAATATTTATACCTATACTGTTAAAAGCTTCAGTGACAGCAGAAAATGAAGGGAGACACTTCCGCTCTTTGATGACCGAACGCTGGATCCATTTCAACCCAGAATTTGAGCTCCACTCAGTCTTCTGGTGCCAGATTGGCAGCACCCTCAGGTCCCTTCTGGCACCTTCACTGTCTCTATTTGTTCCATTTCTCTCTCTTCAGCTATGCCACAATATACAGAGAATTGGAGCGCACAATCCTGGCTGCAAACACACAAGAGGACCTGAAGTGGTTCAGCAACAACCACGGCCCCGGGCAGCACATGAACTGGCCTGCATTTGAGGCAAATGGAAAAAAAAAAGAACATTGAAAACTGACATTTATTTTTTCGATTATTTTTTCTCCCCCTGTTCTGCTTCAATGTTTTTGTTCACATTGTATTTGCCAGGAATACAACCCAGACCAGGCAACTGCTCCCCCAAAGAAGAAGAAACCAGACGGAGCCCCACCCACTCCGAGCACTGACCATGTGGCTCCACCTGGTGACCGTAGCAGGTTCGAGCAAGAGATTTACAACACGTTACTTTTCCTCCTTTTTGTAGCTGCAGCTCAGTCCCATAGACATGACTAAAAAAAACGACAAAATGTCTGCTACCTTTTTGTTGATTATTGTTAACTGCCGGTCTGGGGAATTATCGGAGCAGCATGATGCACATGACAGTGACTCAGAACAACCCACAGTTCCCACATGAACTGTAATCAAAAGCGATTTGCCAACAATTTGACTCATTTGTGTGTCACTGATAGTTTTTTTGGCCATTAATGAAAGCCTGTGAGACATGGAAATGTGTTGCCAGTTCAACTTCTAAACGTCTATCATTCAAATTCCACCCGCCGTTGTCTCCTCCGTCCAGTGTGAGCAGCTATGAAAAGAACCAAGCGTACTCCACCGAGTGGTCTGATGACGAGCAGCCCACCACGTACTCCGGCAACGAAAACGGTGGGAACGGGAATTCTTTCGAAGACGACTCCAGCGCTGGGAAGGGGGTCCGCGTGAGGGCCCTCTACGACTACGAAGGCCAGGAGCAGGATGAACTCACCTTTAAAGCAGGTAATCATCCATGGTCACTCCAGGTGACTCAGGTAATGGGATCTCTGCTGCTGTCATGCAGACTGAGGATGAGATGACAAGGTGCAGTAGGCTATATGATGCAGGATTGGTCAGGAAGGAACAAATATGTCCTAATGTCTACTGTGGAGGTCCCAGTATCTCTGCATCTATCGAAAATAGAAGTGATTTGCAATTAGCGGCTACGTGGAAAACAAATTACAGGCAGTCGCCAACAATTAATCGAGGCTGTTTGGGGAATGGTCCAAAAAGAACTTGATTTGTCCGCATAATGACGTGAACAGTAATTTAAGGAAGCCCTGTACATAGAAGGTTTTCTACTGAAGGAATGCCAGCTGTGAATGTTCAACTTCAATGCCTTCAGCGCTGTCTGAAAGGTTGAAATTGCCTTAAAGAGGTGTGATGTCAACAGAATTTTTTCTGGACTGATAGACTAAGGGACTAAGAGAATGAGAACAAAACCTTTTTAGTAACATTTAGAGGATCATTAAGACTGTGAACAGAACAAACACTGACACAATTATTTGTCAGGGGAAACAAAAAAGGGCTTGCTCCTCCAGTTTTCATTTTGTGACCTTGTTTTACGCCAGAAACGAAGTGGAAAAACAACAAAGCTACCGCAACTCTGCACAGAACCTGCCATTCTTTTTTCCTCAAACTCTTCTGCTCGAATGTCAACAAGATTTATTTTGTGACTTGAAAAACTACTGATGTCAAGCACTGAAAAAGTCTTGACCACTCTTTTTGATATAATTTTCTTCCAAGGATGCAGAATTTCTTTTTGAATGGTCTTGTTAAGTAGTTCTGCTGGTTTTCTTGAAATTTTCTCCCTCTTCTGAGTGTGGTCTGTGTTTTTGCTCAATGTCAATACCACACTTGAGGATACCTCAACAAAAGGACGTCAAATATATCTTCATTTTCAAGCCTGTGTTTTGCCATATATACAGCATTTCTTTTTACAACTGAATATTTTAATAAATGATTGCACAGATTTTCTTTGTTTTTCTGATCAACATATATAAAAAGAATGCAGGGTAGATCAAGAATTGTTTGGAGTACTGTAACTCTTTTCCCATTCAACCTTACAGTTCAAGCATAAATCCAGAAACACGTTGTTATACTAGGAGTTCTAGATGCACATTTATGTGAAGCGGTTCCCTCTAATATCCCCCCTGTAGATTCACATACAGTATACCGTTTGGAACAACTAACCATGTTGATTAAAGAGTGGCGTTTCCTTCTCAGGTGATGAACTGACCAAGACTGAGGATGAAGATGAACAAGGCTGGTGTAGAGGTCGTTTGGACAGCGGCCAAGAGGGACTATACCCAGCCAATTATGTCGAGCCAATCTAGTCACATAACTGGATAAGGACATGCCACTGGAGGCAGCTTGAACTGTCCCGTCCAACAGCACCGCACATAGCCAGAGACTTAAGAGCAACACATCCCTTGCCCAACAGATGCGCCAAGCAGTCTTGCCTAAATAAAACTTAGTAACCCAAAAGACACTATGTCAGTATAACATAACCTATCGAGCATTTGGGGTGGGTGGACTTACACATTCAAAAACAGGAGCAGTTGTACCAGTACACACACTCTACTCTACCATCGTGACAGTGCAGGAACACATTGCTTCTCTGTGCAGCTGTATTTAACCTATGATGCAGCTTATTAAAACTTGCAGCATCCTGCAGTGAGTTCTTTGGTGAAAAAGGGAGGATTATATTATCGGTTCTACCCATTTGACAAAGACGAGCTTCTCCAACCTGCATTGTGTATATACAGCGTGTTGCCATTTTATGTAGCATTTCTAATGCTGTGTATGTCATTCTTACATCGGGAATGCTGTGTAGTGTTAGAAGTACCACAGACAGTATCCTTTTTTTTTTGCTTTTTTGTTTTTTCTGTTCTCTTTTCTTGGTGATTTGGTCCAGCCTCGACTCCAAGTGTGTGCAGTACTATGTGTTTTGAACTGTCTCTGAACTTGCATAGCAGCATGTGCTATGCAAAGACTCGTATTCCCTTGCTCCTGCAGCCTTGTTTTAGGCTTCAACTTGATGCAAAACTTCAACCACAAAATGCAGCATTACATGCCTTCTGGACATGCACATGCTTCTGGTTCCTCGTGAGAAAGCTTCTCGACGATCTGATTTTGTTTGTTTTTGTTGTTTTAGCATTTCTTTCTCTTTTTTTTGTTCAAGCGCTGTAAATCCTTTGACAACATCATCCTCATGCAGAATCATGGGAAGGATTTACAGTTTGTGCAGAAGCTTTCACGAATGGTTCAACAAATCAGGTTTCATTTGAATCCACCTCTGTAAACAACACACGTGTAACATCCTCTCAGAGCCAAGATCAAGTCATCTTGAGGATGCCACTGCATTATAAGAGGGAGATCTTGAACAATACCTGTGCCTGGGACTCTTTTTCAGAGCAATGGGCCGATGGAGTGATGTCAATAGACTACTGTTGACAGGCTATTGTCTGCATATTGACGCCTCTCCAACAGGACATGAATGTACTAGTGATTGGGCTTGAAAAAGGGCATGTGAACTAAATATCATTCTATATAGTCAATATAAAGCCTTGCTTAGCTAAAAGCACTAGTTATGTGGCCCGTGTCCCTGCTGAGCCAAAGAACGACCAAGTTGTTGTCACCTGTTTTCTCCCCATGCACTAATTTCACATATCACACGTCAAACAGCTTCAGCTGAGTCACAGTTGCTTCACAGCCCATGCCAAACACATCTGTCTGGACAACATATCGTAATGACACAGAACCCATGTCACCTGTGGTGCAGTATATCACACAGTGGATTCGAATCTTTCATTTTCTATCCAGAAATAACACTCGGGCAGGAAATGCACACATCGTTGATTGATTGATTGATTGATTAGTGAGTTATCGTGTTACAAGTTTGACCTAAATCTCTGGTTAGATGGCAAAAATGCTTTTTATAACCTAGTTGTCCTAATATTTATAAAGGTCTGCGGACCAACAGGGGTCAGATGTGTTTAGCTCTGTGTCTGCAACAGGTTAGGGTCTCACACGTGAGGAAAAAAAACAACAAAAAAAACAACACATCACCAGCTCACAAGTTGTGTCTTAGAGAAAAGCTGTCCAGCATAGCAAAAAGGACGCCTGTTGTCCAAACGTCTGACATCCTCGACACACGTAAACACGCCCATATATCCACACATATGCAAATACACAAGTATTAGACACACAATATACACCATACATGCAAGCTCGAAGGCATAATCAACAGGTTAATATTTTGGGGGTAAAACATCATCATCCAGTGTGTATGAATCGTGTAATTGTAACAAAAAAAAAGGAAAAAAAAGAAAAAAAAATGCAAGTGATTGACTATTAAGACAAAATGTAGTGTTATACATGTAAATGTGTTTCATTAAATTACAGCAATTGAAAACATCTTAAGTAATAGGTACCATATTGTATGAATTTTATTGCAATGGAATTGTCAGTGTATCATAAAAAGCGTGACCCGACGCTGTCAGATTTGTATATGATGATGTAATTTAAAGATTATATTCTATTGTAACTGTACAACTGTATTGAGTTGAAAATGAGACCTTACCACGTTGAGACAGTAAAAAGGTGTACATGTAATTGCTTTTTTTTATGTTGATCTCTTCCTTATGCACACAGGGGACAGCAGCTCACGTTGTGGAAACCCTATATTAGCGGTCTAGAAGATGTATGTTCATAGTTAGTGATGTAATTTTATCTCCTAACTGGTGTAGTGCCTGTTCATCTTGATGTAAACAAGAAAATCATTTAAATATGCATAAAGGTGATTATGACCACAGGTAATAATGATGACAGTGATAAGAAAAACAAAAAAAAAAAACTCTAATTTGCTGTGATGGTGTCAATACTGCAATATTGATTTGAAAGGGAAACAAGTTTATTGGAAAAAAAGTTAGTGTCTGTGTGTTTTTATTTTCATTTTTTTCTTTGGAAAGACCGACCATGTCATTGTGAGATAACTTTCAAGAAGAAAAAACTCCTTTGAATCATTAGTTTGCACGCACTAACACTTACCTGCTTTGCAATTGAAAGCTAGGATAGTGTACAAAAGTAAACGAAAATCTCATTTATTCATTCATTTAATATTTCAGCCCAAGTTGTGTGACATACACAGTTCTAAATGAAAGAAAGACTTGGCCACAGGGGACATGCAGTCGATGGACGTCAGCCCTTGGAGCCAGATCTGTATTTAATCATGGAATGGAAAGTCATAACAGAATTACTGATAGATAGAATAAAAGTTTTTAAAAGTATCACTTTGAAAATCAAGTATACATACACATTTACAAGTGTGAGTTAATTAAGAGATAAATGTTGATGAAATAGTGAAATCGGTAGAGTAAAATCATAAGCTGGTGGCATTTTGTCATTGATGGCCTTGACAGTTGCAGTGAAACAAGAAAAAGCATTTAGTAAAGTGAATTGCAGTCCTTGTGTTAATTCTTGTATATAATAAGCACCTTTTCCTTTTTTCCAGTTGATATTCTTCACTAAAATGTCATCAGGTAGAGGGAGGACATGGCTTATTCTATTTTCCTCATGAAAGTGTCAATAGTAGAGTGGCAAGCTTATTTCATCAGAGGAATGTAACAAGATAAGAACTAAACCATCATAACTGAACTTCTCATATGATTGATTATTCAATTAAAATAATTATTAGAACTTACTTAGAACATTATCAGCTTTCTTCTCAGGGGTTGGAATGTGAAGATATGTCGTTTTTTTTTGCTGACTTCTCTTAATGCAGCTCTTGGAAAGAGATGAAGGAACTATTTATTTGACATGATATATTGATAAAAGTATTAACCGAATATGATTTTATGAAGAATTGAAATATCCTCAAAATATTTTTTTTTACTGTGCCAGGACAATGAAACGGAAGAAATGTGCTAATCAAACATTTTATGATTGCAGTAGTTTGTCCATGAGAGATAAATGGGTATAAATAAGAGTTTCCAAAAGGAGGGCAGTGACTCAGTCACTTGCAAATGTTAATACTTTATAGTCAGTGTTGAGACTGGAAAAATAACAAAATACCTACTAAATTCTAAATTTAAAAAAGAAAGAGTTGTTTGTTGTCTGCAAGCATTTGAATAAAAGTTGTACAAAAAAAAAAGGCGCATAGCTCAAAACATTAGCTTCAGTGATAATTTAATCATACAGACATCCATCAAGCATACAGAAAATGAGCTTTCATCTGTTTGCGCTCCCTCACTTGCATACATGTACTGCTGTATGAGTCTAATGCCAACTGATTGGCCCTGTAGTCAGGCCAGCGGAAACTCCAGATATTACAAAAAGAAAAGAACACGCTCAGCACTGGATAAACCACCTCTGACAGCATGGAGAGACACGTGCACTCGGGTTGTCGACAGGAAATGCACATTGTTGTACCAAACAGGGATCCTCGTTGGGGCACTGGCTGGTGTTGTCGTGTTGTTACAGCTCGGGATCCAAAAGGCTTACAGGTTCATCAAGGGTGTTTTCATTGATGACACGGTCTAAGACACACTGACTGTGAGGGACAGATAAAAATCACGAAACTGACGTCTCCATAAGCTCTTCCCTTTCCTCGAGGAGCAGGAAGGAAAACACAGCCTTTGTCGTAAAAGTTGCATCATTCAGTGCATAGATAAGCCATTTTAGTTGGAGCAGATATGATCCAGTCTTTTCACTGGAGAGGAGAAAAATGTTATATGTATACCTATAGTATACTTAAAATGTAACATTTGGAAAAGAGACAGGAAATTACATCAGTAAACACACTGAAAAGACCACCTGTTCAATTCAAATGTATAATGTAGAATTTCTTTGGGAAACGAAAAAACAAAACATGTCTAGAATCATTCCTCTCTTTTACATGATGAAATACATTCAACTTAAAAGTTAAAAAGCAGTCTAAGGCCAAAGTTTCCATGCCTTCGCTGCTCTTTTTGGCTTAAATTTACTAAGTTGTGGCATGATGAGCATCAGCCATTTCATTTTGATTTGTTATGATGTGTTATGAACATTAAGTCTGGAACCTCGCATGTCTTTAATATTCAAGTGGATTTAGCAACCGCTGATGGCACAAAGCCTCTGAACTACAATCTTCTTGGAGCAGAAAGCACTGACAATGCTCCTTTCCTTTTTGTCTTTTTTTTTTTTTTAAAGGTAAAGGGATGCATGCTGTGACAGAAAATGACACATGGGCTCTTCAAATGTATCTGGTTGCTAGCACACAATAATTCATTGTTTTTCCACATAATGATAGGGGTAAAAACCAGAACTGAACCTTGAACATTACACTACTTCATACATGTATATTGTGCAAGGGACAGCAATGATTCCAATTACTATAAAATGTTTAACCTTCAGTGTCTTCCAGAGGCCACAGTATCTCTCAGGTTTTTTCTTAAGTTCTTACTGGATGACTCACTCCAGAGGAAAAACAGATGCATTGCTTTTAGAAAACTGGAGGTAAAGAGACACATTAGAAAATATTGTCATAAGAGCAGTGTGGATAACAGGAAACGCATATGAGCCTTTAAATATGCCTATGGAAAATGCTGGTTCTTTGAAAAATACTAGAATGAAAGGGTAAACTTAGGTTTTAGGGAGAGTCTTTTCATGACATTTAGTGCTAGAGAGACCAGAGGGTCCGCAAAACCCACTCGATGAAAACCAAGAGTCGGAGCAGAAACTAAAGAATCGGTTGGCAAATTAAATGGCTTTAACTCCAAAGTGCCTTTTCCGGGCACGGAAATGCACGCACATCTACTCACAATCAAACACACACCTCTGTTATGTTGATTCCATTTGCACTCTGTCAACTAAAAGAAACCTGAAAAACGAAAGAAAAAAAAAAGTTCACTCAAAAGACTCATTTTTAACTTAGCATTCATTCGAGCATACTGTGGGTGCGGGAGGTTGGTTCAGCTGCACACTGGGAGCGTTGGCCTCTGGTTTTGCATAAAGTGTTTTTAATCCCCATACATGCCACCACAAAGCCTCCTGTTTTTCTTATTGGTGCGACAGATTCCAGAGTTACAGTTTAGTGCTGCTTTCCTCTGACAAGTCCCATGATCTAAGAGTGCCCAAAGGGAGAGGGCTCCTGTATCTGCGGGGGGAGGAAAAGACAGGGGAGACAGTTAGCAGAAAAATACGAGATCAGAGCAGAATTCAGTGGAGGCGTTTGTATTGAGTTCCCTGGACCTTTATCGGACCACAGCGACAGTCTGCTTTTTGTGACAAACACAAGCCTAAAGTTGGAAGAGAGTTGGTTTACTGGTTCACAGTCCATCCTTAATTTAGTCTAATCACTTTCCTCCTTGAAGCCTGAGATCTTTTTAATCCTAGAATGTACACCCTGCATGCTTTCCTCTGCTTTTTCTAGATGTTTGTTTCCCTCAATGTAGGCTGTCTACTTCCTCACTGCTTAAACCAACATGTAGCAGGAGGCTTAGCTTAGACTGGATGATCAAGGAAGACAATTAGACATCCACACCTTTCATCTTATGGAATGAGAACTAATGGTCACAAGTATGCTGACAACAAACAAAAAAACATATTTTGAGATGGCAGAGTGCCCTACTTAACTCATTCGCTGCCAAAGACATCTATAGACGTCTTTTCAAATCCAACCGCTGACTGCCAAAGACGTCTATAGACGTCTTTTATGTTTTTCAATGCGAGTGGCTTGGGGGACGATCGGCAAAAGTTTTTCCGTAAATATCGGCTTCTAGACAGAGTATGGACTAACAAATTTACCCTCTAGGTAGCTGTGCCACTTTTGATGGGAGATTAGCATAGATTGTAAGCAAATAAAAACAAACGCAATGGTTCGCTATGAGAGAAATGGCGCCGGTGAGACGCACGTCGAAGAAGAACGGAATAAGGTAGAAACAAAATCTTTTTTCCTGATGAAAGAAGAGAGTCTACTCTTTCTTTTGGTGTGTTCGGTGTTTACATAGTCATAGCACAAACTATTCTGTGGCTCTTGAAAAATCAGTCAAAATTCTCAAAAAACTCTGGCAGTGAGCGACTCTCTGTTCTGAAAATGGCTGGCAGTCAATGAGTTAAGATTCAGACTATCTGTAAAATGGTTAGAAAATGCAACATTTGAAAAATAAAATGATAATAATGCAGTTGTCCCATTGAGGAGAGGAGCTGTGTAGGATTAGATCACACTGTCAGTGGAAGCACCATTAGATGGTAAGTTTTCATATAAATATAAATAATTATTGTCCCTTAAATTAATTCTGACTTAATTCAGAAGTTATTGCAGCCCACTGGGTCCTGTCATGTCATGACTTCAATCTTCATGTTACCCGTCTGCCGCCTCAAAGCCTCAAGGGGTTTGTGCAACCCACACAGGGCATCACTTCAAAGTCTTTTTGATCACAGGTTTTCAATGGACAGTAGGTGTCAGAGGTGAGGAAAACAAGATAGCGGTGTGACTGCCCTGATAATGGAAGCTCATAGGAGCAGTGATCGTCTCTGACGTTAGCATAGAACAAATCCAACTGTTTCTTTTCTTTGGTGGAGGGAGTTGACTGTTGGAAGATGTGCTTGATATCACCTGAGATCTAAGCAAAAGCATTGGGGAGTGTTAGCCTGTGCAGCCACCCAGCTCACAGAGCACCGCTGCTTTGTCTTTTGGAGGTCTCTGTCTGAAATGGAGTTAAGAGGCACTACTATCCCACATAAGCTCCTGCAGCCGGTTTTTGGCCAAATTCTTAATATTCCCGTTGCCTTTTTACAGTTGAAAGGCTCTTATTTTGTAGTGATTTCCCCCTGCCCATGCAGTCTGAGGCAAGAAGAGGTACAAATTTCCTCTACCTCATTCTCGTTACACATCCTGTATTCAATCAAACTGATTAATTTGCACCCATTTCTTAAACATGTAATGCGTGTAAACCCCCCTCACATCTGACTGAGTGCTAGCTTACCTGGTTACAAGAGACTACTGATAGATTGCTTTGTAGACTGTTTGCTACTAGATCCACAGAGTTGTGTGAAAGTCCATTCTGGTCTTGCTGCAGCTGGTGTGGGCCTCCCTGCCAATGTTCCTCTGCCACTCTGTGGGTGCTGTCACCGTGGAAGTGGTTGTTGTTGCTATTGGGGCACTTGTTCTTCTCTGGTGACGCGAAAGGGTTGTAGTCTCCTTCCAGGCTGCGATGAGGCTGGGTGTTGAACTCGGCTTGGAAAGAAGAAAGCTGCTGTGTGACGCCAAGCAGGCCTCCAACCTCCACACTCAGGATCACCCAAATGACATCTGTCAAGACATCGAAACAGGTATTTATAGCATGATCGCCTAAAATGTGGAACAGGTGACTATCAAACGCAAACATGTACTGCATGGATGGTAACTATTCGCAGGAACCTTCCGGCACGGCAGCAATCCTCTGGATAAGAATGGTCTGAACCAACTATAGCTGTGAAACTTAGTTTTTAAAATGGGGGAATCTTGAGTTATCTTCTATGGAGGCGATGATGAGCAAAACAAATAAGTTTTAAAGCACGAACAAAGGAGCCCTCCACTGTTTTATTGGTTTCACCACAGTAACCTTAAGACATAATTAAAAAGCACTTTGTGCTCATAAAGAAGTCTGGCCTACAGTGTTTAAATACTGCATTCATAGATTTGTGCGGCTCAGTTCCTATAAATTTTAAATGACAGACACTGAGTGCATTGAAAGCAGAGAATCATTATATTAGGTCGGAAACAAATAAAAAGATGCACACATGGCTGGTGGCATTAACAGTGCTGCTCCGACTGTGTATCCTAAACATCGGGGGCTGAATCTACTTTTACACGCGCCCTGAAATGCGTTTGACATTATCCAAAAGGGTTGCGTGTGGTTGACTTCATGTGCAACTCAAGTTTGTTTGATGTCTGCATGAAACTACGCTTGAACTGGCCAGAGAATCCTTGAAAAGCAATGTGCGTCTGGGTGTATTCCACAAGTTTTGCCATCACTTCATATGTGCAAACAATCATCAGCATAACATTACTGAAAAAACAGATGTGATCATTATTTCTTCTTGTGTGTGATTTCAGGGAATATGTGCGGTCCTCACCCCCATAATAAAGTCCTGTTGCGGTGCACATTCTCCACTGACCCTGGTACATCCCAGGAGCCACGGGGCTGTGCATCTGAACACTGACGTCAGTCATATCTTGAGGATCTAGAGAGTGCACCATTACCATGTTCACATGACCAAACTGGTCTCCTCCTACATACTTCAGACATACCCCGGGCGGCCATGACTCTGAACCTGAAAGACATACAAACAACTATGCTGATTTCATCCGACATGGCTACAATTATTATCATTTACTATTAGCTCATCGTCGTGAGCTATTCTTGCACCAGCTGGCTCACCGGTGTTCTGTATCCTCCAGGTCTTTGTGAAAGGTGTGTCAGGTGGAACGGATTCACCTTCACCAATCGTCACGTCCTTCACGAAGGACATGCACGGTGCACTGATGTTGGGACTTTCAAAGTCATAGTAAGCTCCGATAGCAGCCTGTAAATTCCTGGGACACAAAAAATAACGAAAAGCAGACATACGGGTTACAGACCGACATTGTCAGGAACATGATTCAGTTTATGCAGATCATTACTCATCTACACTTTTGATGCACAGATTACTCCCCCGTTTGGGATTTCACGGCTACAATCTCTCAGCATATGAATGAATGAAGGAAGGCGATTGGCCACTGTTTGAGCTGTGGTGCAGCATCGTCCAAACAAAATGGGTAATTTTTTGTTGTTGGTCAATCCAGGACAGCGTATATGGCTGTGAATGTTAGAGCCAGGAGAGCTTTCAACAGCCCTTACAGGGTATATTTCCGTGGCATGCTGGGTATCCATAAAATAGCAGTTTTATTTTTAGAAAGCCAGCAGTCCAGCTGCATCATGTGACACTACTACAGCCTGACCTCCCACTGGACACTGCCTTTGTCGTGTTCTTAGACCCGATTTTAGTTGACTCGACGCTGCTATTTGTCAAAACAAGCCATATCATCTGGCTTTAGAAGGCGGGTTCCTCCGACACATTCATTTTCGTTTTCGAGCACGAGCATTCGCGTCTTGTTTCATGTTCGACGAAAAAAGCCACCGGAAGTATTTTTTTGAACAACAAAACAAACAAAAAAACAAAAAAATGATATTCAAATTTATGTATATTATTGTCCACTAGTGGGACATAAACATTAAGATTTGGCCACACAAAGTGAGCTGAATATTCATTCCTGCTATTCGCCGATAAAGAAGCGCTGGGCACATCGGGCAAGACGGACGTTGATTACGTAATAAACTGATGCGTTAACTGAAGGTGCAGTACCGACAGGGGTACACTCATGTTTGGCCAATTGTAGCAACGGCACCTATGAAAACCATCGTCTAATACATCAGAAAATCCAATAAAAATTAAATTAATAACGTGTATGCAAACCAAGCCACCCACTGCTTCTCTCCCTGACAGGCAATCAGAAGTCACAGTCACACTGACTCAGCTCGTTGAGTTACTACAGCGTCGTTAGCTTTCATTACAACTCCGCTAACTTCTCCAAACGTTGGCGTCTTAGGTCAAATCAAAGAACAAATCTTCCCATGTTTTACTTTGCCGTTTTCCTGGCTAATTATATTTGCACCGGTTGAACAGCTATGCAAAAATGCTAGCTGATATACACTGTATTATCTAACAGCCACTACACAGCAGGCCGAACGAGTCCCCGAGCTCACCAGTTGGTCATGTCCAGAAAGAAGGCGCATCCGGCGGGGTTTAGTTGAAACCCGAGCAGCCTCTGAAATTCCGATATTAGAATATCTTTGTCTGTTGTGCCCATGCAGCTGAATTTCTGCATAAGCTCCTGGTCCAGGTCCAGGTCCATGCCCTCCATAACGGATTCGCCCGGGGAGACACGGGGGCTTCGCTCCTAATTTAGTCCGAGGCCTCGACTTGTCATAACAAACTCAAAAACAGGGCCGAGTGCGCATGTCACATGACTGAGCCTGGTGTCCACAAGTCACAGGGCTGGCGTAAAGGGGGGGGAGGGGGGGGGGGGGGGGGTGGCAAAAGGTTTTCCCCAAAACTATTGGCAATTTATTTAATTGTAATAGACTATACATATGTAACTAACATATTTTAGGTTAAAAATACAATCAAATTATACATCTACTGATGCAACATTTAAAAAAAAATACGAAGATGACAAGGCGATAAAAATATTCTCCCTAGCATAATTGCTAATCCCTAGCATTTTTCTCAGATACACAGTTAGCCATGCAATAATGTAATTGTGTAGTTGCTTAGCTATCAGAGTAGTGTATTTCTCACTTGAATTACACACCTACTTAAATTTACAGTTTATGCATGTTGTGCAAAAAGCTAAACCATTTAAGTGAATGGCAAATATTAAATAATTTCTCGAAAATAGTTTTCAGTTATACTACAGTTAAACTATGGAGTGTTGTTTTTTTTACTGTTACACATACATATACAACGCAGACGATGCCGCAATATTTTACGGTTGTGGGAACGCCTGCCGTAAAGTGCCAGCAGGGGGCGGTGTTGTACCGGAGCTCCCGTGGTCCATCGCTCTAACCGTGTCTTCGTGCTCGTCCGCGTGCACGAGACCGGGGGGGTTAGCTGTGTGGTGTTTAGCGAAGAAACAGCTGCTAACAAGATGCACACGGCTAGCGCCATGCACAGTTTGGAGGTACCTGCGGGCTAGTTTCTATGTCTTTAAGTAGATAATCCGCCGACATCGTTCGCCCCAGAGAGTGACAGAAATGGCGGGGATTATTAAAAAGCAAATCCTGAAACATTTATCAAGGTAAGTGTGGGGTTTTGTGTTAGCTACTTAGCCCATTTGGGTGATGGTTTTAACGCTCTGGCTTGAGAGGCAGAAAACGGCACCTGGCAGTGTTTTGCCATCGACCTTGTTATCTTTATTTCCACCTTGTTTGCTTTTCTGTGAACGCCACACTGAAACAACAAGGCTGGAATAACAGCCATAGACAGCAGCAGACAGCCCGACCTGCTCGGGAACATTACTTTCCCGGACACATTCTCAGTATTCTTGACAGCCTTATCGTGACTCTGGTCTCCATCCCTACCACGGCATTTACTTTGTCTCTTAAAAAAACGCATCACAACCATTTAAATGTTTGGTGTATATCGGGTGTAAGATAAAAGCTTGTGGTTGGTTTGAATCTGTCGAACAATCTACAGTGGATGTCAGTGATTTGTACATTTCCTCTACATAACTTTAAATAATGGCATCCTGTCACGCATGTAAATTTACAGGAATCAGTTTATGTTATATCATGACCTATGGCAGATATTGATAAGAGTTTTGATTAAGGTGAGGAGCATAAAATACTTTTCCGTGCAGCTTTAGCTGTAGGTGGGATGTAGTTGGATGAGAGGGGAAATGTTTAATATGAGCTTTTTTTTATTAGAAATTCTCCCACAACCCTATTGCCATCACAGTTATTTTCCAGACTATTTTGACGTAATGCATTCTGTCCGGATTTTCTTTGCACCTGACCTGGTTTTGCCGGCTGTGTTTGTAAAGCTGCTTTTTAGGAGACCTGCAGTCTGAACTTGTGTGATAAGGCTGCACTGTTCGTTCTATTCCTTTTTTTATGTCAAGCACTTTTTGTCTTCTGCTGGCAGTTTGGCCCTGCTGACTGGGACATTCATTTTGGTCGGAGAGCAATGCTGACACGTGTTTCTCTTCTTTAAGGCTGAACCTGACTATGACTGCCCAATAACAAGCTTTCCGTTTGACTCTCACTCCCCTCCTCTCGGTTGTCTCCATCACTGAATAATTCAGACAGGTTTTTGTACTCGAAAGGACAATGTGTATACTTATTGGAAGTTGGACAATGTGGCTCATTGTTATGCTGAACGCTGTTGTCTCTGCAGCTATTCAGCACCCCTCTGTCGCTTTGTGATTCTATTGCCTTTTTGGTATTTCTCACATGTATCAAATTCAAACTAGATTAAAAAACAAACTTGAACAAGATGTAAAAGAATAAGACAAACAAAATGGTGAGATGTAGTGTGTGTGTGTATGTGTTGAGTCATGTGGTAAAAGTCTTCTGGTGTCCTGCTCTATTTCATGACAAAACCCAATCTTTTCAATATCTAAAGGAAGTTTATTCTCTAATTGTTTTTCTTGTAATTGTTTACAGTTTTAGTGTGTTGTTTGGTGTGTATTGCTAAACTAAACTGTTGTCCTTTTAGTTAAGTATGCACAATGGACTTCTTTCTCTCTTTAACTTTGATATTCAGATTTCCCTTTAAACCATCTTATTCTTGCAGTTAGTCTACCTGTCTAATTCTATAAAACACTACCTGGGCCATTTGAAGTTTTGTGGATTTTATGTTCTTTTTTAACCTTTAAGGAAATGCTTGAAATTGCAGTTAAGAGACGCAGTTATTATTTTGTTCTTGTTTAAATCTTGACTCATCGACAGCCCCTTGGGTGTGGTAAACATCGACTTTAGAAAAGTATTTGTCCGGGTTTGAATACAATACAATCAGAGCCGTTATTTAGTTGCGCAGCCGAAGCTGTGACTTGTGTGTCAGGTTTATCGGGTGGAGCGTTACTTCAGCTCTGGTGGCGTTTCACTAACGATAATGCCATCACCCAAACTGCGTCGCCAGGCTTAATCTGCTGCTTTTCTCTTGAGGATCCTGTTTGATGTCGGAGAGTTCTCACAGTCGTGTTCAATCAGGCGTTGCATGAATGACCTTTGAGTTCCTAACAAATCTGTTAGCTCTGTTTGATGCAGCATCCGGCCTTTGTGGCTTGTTGCCTGTTCCTGGATGTTTGGGCCTTAATATTCTCACCCTCTCGGGGACGGCTCCCTCAGTCCCATCACCGAGGGAGTATCTTAGCTGTACAATTTAATTTTGGATATTTATGTCCTTCAGAGCATAAGTAATATGTGTCGGTAAACACGTATTGTTTTATTTTGGCTTTTATGTTCAAATCTGGTTTTTCCACAGGTTTACAAAGAACCTGTCCCCGGACAAGATAAACCTGAGCACGCTAAAGGGGGAAGGGCAGTTGTCCAACCTGGAGCTGGATGAAGAGGTCCTTCAGAACATGCTGGACCTGCCGACTTGGCTGGCCGTCACCCGGGTCTACTGCAACAAAGCCGCCATCAGGGTACGTCTTTCCTGACTCATTCAGACCTGATTCCCTTTCCTACAGACATAAGTGGAAAAACGAGCTGTCACACAAACAGAATTTGTTTCACCATATCTGGGTTTATTTTCAAATCGACCAAAATGTTGCTTCATACTCAGTTGAAGGAAAGGAGCAGTGGCAGTAAAACAAAAGATTAGCTCAGGAAGAGGCTCTGCTTTGAATATGAGGATTCCTAAGACCAGAGCTGGATACCAATAATGGACAGCAAGCCATGACTCAGATTGACACAGAAGGCCAGAGGCGAGAGTGATCCTGAGTTCTGCTGGCTGATGTACACTGAGCTGTCAGGATAGTAGGTTGTTATCCCAAACAAGCCGAAGACTACTTCATGTGTAACAGCCCCTTGTTCTGAGTTTTCTTGGAATCAGGCTTTAAAGTATGAAGGAAACATTTTCCAATGTTCGTGTACTTCTTTATCAATACTTTAGGTACACATACTGCTTTTAGTTGCCATGGTTGACACGCGTCATGAGCCATACTACTGATACACGTTTATTTCCATCAACTGTCTGTTTGTCTATTTTTTACTTACTTTCTCTAAGAACTGGCAACTATATTTTACAAGCCAAAGTATTGCAATAAATAATATTAATAGTTTCCATTTTTTAAAATACATTTCTCAATAAGGTAGCCTTAAAGGCCTGTTCATGGCATACAAAAGTTACATGGAGTAATTGGTTAATTCCTGTCTTATTTGAAAGGTAAAATTCCAATTTTTTTATTTTCTCTTTACTCCACTAGTGGAATGACTGTAAGACAAATGTGTACGGACAGATATTTTCGTGAGCAAAGACTCTCACTCAGATTGCTTGTTACGTTTAGGTGGGAACTCACACAGATGTTAGCCTGTGGGTCACGACTCCTTGTTTCGATGCCATATGTTAAAACCGCATTTGTTGACGTGTCAACAGGAGAACGCAGCAGCTTTCCTTACATGTTTGTGCTGAAATGCAGTTCCCTCTCCAACAATATTAAATACCCGACGAAATGTTATGATTATACATATTATTAGACAACACATAGCCAGCTGGAAACGTCCCAGGTTCTATAGAGACTCAGTGTAGTTGCTTTGCCTCCACTTTGTGGAAAGACAGTCGTGCTGAGATGTGTGCAGTCATGCATTGGTTTGGACGCACTGCAAAAAAAAAAATTCTCATATTTGCCCAATTTTTTAAATGTAAGCTGATTCCTGTTAATGACTTATGTAACCTGTAAGAGAACACAGCTGGACCATAGCCCGATTTCTTGCTTAATCTGATTTACTCTAGCAAAATAAATGAACGGTAGCACAAAAGATAGATTGGTACAGTTTTTTCTAAATGTTGTCCAAGCACAATCCAAAAATCCTTGTCTGTGTTAATAAATGGCTGCATCTTCAGTTTCGTGGGAGAGATTCCATATAAACCAGCTGAAAAAGATCAGGACATCTGAACAGTAGATTCTGATCTATGCTCACAACCTTGGAGGGGGGTATCTGAGGGCTGGGATTGGGAAGCTCTGCCCTCAAAGATGGATCCAGAAAGCTTTTTCACCTTTTAACTTTTACTCTAGTAGTTAAAAGCTAGATTAGACTGACATAAACCTTACTCTGCATGCTTACTAATGACAACCATGAAAATGTTGTCACCCAGCAGATTCCTGGGGTTACCTGCTTTCATTCTGGATTAATTTTCTGACCCTGCCTTAGTCTCTGTGTCATGCTGTGCCTTTGTACCTTGCATAAAAAGTGTCTGTGAATGACACCAGTGCCTGTTGTATTTTTCAGATACAATGGACGAAGCTGAAAACAAGCCCCATATGCCTGGTATGAACTGTCATTCACGTATTTCTTTGGTCTCTTACCTTTCCAAATGTTTAGCCCCCCTCATCTTTTCAACCCAAAGCCAGCCAACTATGGCATGATCCAATAATTCCTGAGTTATTTTCTGCCTCCTCTGTGACTGGTGAATGGGTTTAGTTCTTTGTGCTCATATCATAGGTAAACAGCAGCTAACCTCTGTATCCACCCTCGCTCAATGTCTGAATGTTCTGTCTTTTGTGTAGTTCTTGGATAAAGTGGAGGTTGAGATGAGGACATGCGAGGAGCCTCGTCCGCCCAATGGCCCCTCTCCTATTGCTATAACGGCAGGCCAGAGGTAAGCCGTTGCACGTCTTGAGCCAGTCCACCGCATCAGGTATTGAATGCTGCGCCGCTCCCCGTGTGTGTGTCTACAGCGAGTATGGCTTCGCTGAGAAGGTGGTGGAGGGCATGTCCGTCAGGATCAACTCTATCACCATCAAGGTGCAGGCCCGAGCCTTTCACGCCTCCTTTGAGCTCTGGCAACTGCAGGGCAACTCCCTCAACCCCAAGTGGCAACGCAGCGACCTCCGCTACACTCGCGTCACCGACCCAAAGAGAGGAGAGGTAGACCCACGAGCTTTTATTCCCCTGCCCACAAAGCTTTAAAAATCTGCTGTCTGCTTCCCATGTAAAGCGCAACTTTGCTCCACCGCAGGAACAACGTATGCTCAGTAAACCTGCAGCAAGTCATTAAATCAAGTCACATGTTTTTATTAGCTGGAGGGACTAATTTGAGAGCAGCTGCCTCTCAGAGTGAGGACTTGTAATCCAGTTTAAAGTAAATGTGTCCGCTGCTTCCCCTCTTTGCCACTTTGTATAACTGTCAGAACACGATGCTTGGTTGACTTGTCGTGCTATTTACCGATCCTTGATGGTGTGATGTGATTACCAGGTGTTGACATTCAAGGAAATTAACTGGCAGAGTCTGCGAATCGAAGCAGATGCCATCGAGAGTGACGACCAGGACCTCGGTAGCACCCCTTTGCGTCTAATCACCAACCAGGGACGCATCCGCATCGCTCTAAAACGCAGAGTAAGACCACACCTGTGCCTTGTACCCATGTTCAAAATAAAGAATAAACATTTGGGATGCTTTGTTTTTGTTTAAACATAAAATCACAGTTGAGGGCTTTCCAAATCTCACAAGCCATCATTAGGAAGCAGTTGTATTTTCTGTGTTCTTTGGCACAAAAAGATGGTAAAAGGTAAAATATTTAAAAAGTTACATTCTGGGACATTTTCCCCAAAGTCCTCCACAATTTGTACATGCAGTTTTTTGCAGTTTGTTGAACATCTGTAGATCTTTCCTTCTCAGGGACCTTACATCTGTAAGGTGCTCTTTTATAAGCAGTCTTGTTACTGACCTGCACTCAGGGTTTGCAGTGTGTTGCTCTTCTTTTTTTTTTTTTTGACATGTCAGTTTCCAGATCAGCAAAAATTTTCTGACATGTTCACTGTTTTCTGGTGAATAAAATCACAATTCATTTATGGGTTTTACTTACTCTTGCATTCTGTTTTTATCAGCATTTCTTCACTGCTTCCCCAATTTATTTAGATTATTTTTACTTCTCTGTGACAAAAAATGGTTAAAGATTCCATATGTGTTTACAAAATGAGTCTCACATGAATCGCTTCTTGTCTTCCCCGTTCTGTATAGATAAAAGACTGTAATGTGCTGGCGTCCAAGCTGTTTTTCATTCTGGACGACCTGTTGTGGGTGCTGACAGACTCTCAGCTCAAAGCCATCATTCATTATGCCAAATCTCTCAGTGAGGCCATGGAGAAGTCTGCTCAGCAGAGGAAGAGCATGACCGCTGAATCGCTGCAGGTCTGTTCCAAGTTTTTATTTTTTATTATTTTTTTTAATTTGGCAGATTTGATTCAAACAATTGTGAAGTTGGAAAACACATAGAAATTAATTAGTTTAGTAAAAGAGGAGCTTCTCTGTTTTAAATAAATTTATTGGAATTCTTTTAATCATATGAGGCTTTTAAAAAAGAAATTGTGCATTGTGCCTTCTTTGTTGGTGTAGACTGCCCCCCCGTCCCCCGGCATCCACAGTCTGTGGACGGAACCCCCGCCCTCCTCCACAAGCGCCCCTAACAACATAAGTCAATACTTTGATCACTTTGACGTGAAGGAGTCCTCCTACCACACATTCATATCGCGCTTGGACCTTCACATATGCAACGACAGCTCTTCAATGGATGAAGGTCAGCCTGCCAGCGGTTTATCTGTGCAGCTTTGTTAGAAAAAGGCTATGCCTCTGTTCTCAAAAATGCTCCATAACACGGTAACTTGTTGAGAATTTGGAGGTTAATGAGTGTCAAGCAGATTTGAACCCCCCTCCCCATGTGATGTGCTGCACAGATGAGCCTCCCCCACCGGGCTTGCAGGGTGCCATGCAGCTAACGTTCAGGAAACTGGGATTTGACTACTATCCCATCCACAGACCTGGTGAGTGCGTTGACCAGCTCTGTGGAAGAGTGCATCTCATTAGCATCTCTCTCCCTGAGGGTGTGTTCTGCTCCTACTGTAAGCACAGCATTCACGGACTGGCTTTGCTCTGGACTGCTATTCAAGCAGACTAATGGTCTGGTAGAAAGCACCCAGTGCTGTTACACTCCACAGAATCTTTGAAGTTTTTAATGTTGCGCAGCAGAGTTTCCTCTCAGGCCTATTGAGGTCAGTTCCACAGGGTCAGAGCAGCGACAAACTTTGCCTTTCTTTGTTCTTTTATCAACATTTATTTAGATGTTTTCCAAGTCAGTGTTAACAGGCCTTTGTTTGGATTGTTTTTATTTTCCCAGCTCATGAAATGTGGTTATTACAGGTCAGGCTGTGGTTGGTTTGTAACAGTGAGTGAAGAGTGTTTTCTGAATCCCCTCCGTTTGTTGTTTCCGCTCCTGCTCAGCTGATGGATGCCGACACTGGGAACGCCACAGCGGAGCTATGGAGGCTCAGGCTCAGTGGGCCAGTAAACTGCTGCACGAGTACCAGAGAAGAGCGGAGGCTTGTGGGTTCCCTGCTCCAAATACTGAGGGGCCCCAACCGGCCAAGGACTCGCCTGCCAAGACATGTCAAAGTATGAACGCAGAGCTGAGCGGGTGAAGGCATGTGACAGAGATGTGACAGAGCGATGAAAGGCCCCATTAATTCCTCAATTGAATTAGCAACATATTTTGTTTGTGCCACTTTCAACTGTTTCACATCAGCTTCAAATTCGTGGTAACTTAGCCCATTGGCTAAAAAAAACAGTCATTGTTGTATGGTCTCTTTATTATAAGCTCTTATATAGTGGCACTTGTGAGCCCATTTTCTACATAACTCAACATCCAATTTGTCCCGGCAGAAGGTACATTTTTTTGTTGTTTTTTTTAAGGAAAAACTCACATATGTATGTTAAACCTCTAATATATTTTTGCTTGTGTGGCTTTTACCTCAAATGTCATTCTTCTCTGTACATACATTAGATGGGCAGTCCAGCCCCAGGCCAAACCCAGCTGACAAACAGCAGACGGGCAGCAGGGGCTCTGTGACGGCTCCTTTAGGGTCGTCTCTGAAGAGGCTGCGTTCGAGCTGTGCAGTAATCAGGATGGATGACGTGGACATTCACCAGGCAAGCTTCCATCATGAAACTAATTTGATTTACCCGCTCTCACAGAAGCTCAAATGGAGCAAGACATTTCTATTATCAGGAAACGTCTCTGGACTAAAGGCTGGAGCTCATTTTAAAATCCGGGAGTTTGAGCCGTGAGCAGGTTTGGACTTATATTTAGGCATTTTTGATTTGTAGTTGTTTGTGTTTGTAATCGCTTTAACAAACCAGAGAGGCTTTTGGGAGTGAAATAGGAGGAGCTTCCAGCTATCCAACAGAACTATATGATACAGTGGTTTTTGCTTTGGTCAGTTTAGATAACATTTTTACTATAATTGACAGTTATCTCTTTTAAATGTGCTATTATTTGAGTAAAGTACCTTAGTAATAGAGTCCCTTAGAAATGAAAATTACTCCAAACATTTGACTTTTTCTGGTTTGTTGCTTCTCATCTTGAAATGAGGAATTCAGTGTGGTTCCTCATTTTCGGTGAACTTACCCATTTTACGGTTACTTTCATTATGAAAGATGGACTGAGTTATTTTAACTCTATTACACTTGCACTTCCTCCTTCGAGAGAGCAGGATATACCCAAGGGGAAATTCAGTGAGCGCGTAGTCTCCACCCGTAGTTTCCAAGATATCACTGATGCTCACCCTCAGGGAGTTCAGTTCTGTGCTCTACTTCTGCCCAGTAACCGTATCCCCTCAGTAGAAGACAAGCAAATAAATAAATCCCATTTGAATGATTCTTCCTTTACTCCCACTGTCTTCGCACATGCAGGTGTCGACAAGGGGCCGTCAAAACAAAAAGACCCACTCTTTGATATCCTGTAACCGGAAGGCTCTGCGCTTGCCGGATAATGTGCCAGCAGTCCACCTGCAGTTTACCGAGTACTACTTTCCCGACAACCCCAGTTTACCAGGTAGATGCTCCCTGTGTTCAAATATACCAAATATGTGTCTTTAATAAACACAAATTGATGTTCAATGATAAGCGAAGATGACTTTGACTCATTGGTACGTCTCAACATGTCTTAGCCTCCTGAGACCCTATGTTCTCACATGAGGACATTACATTTTTGCCTAACTACATCTAGCTTTTTTGTTTTTTCAACTTTGACCTATTGGCCTCATAGTAGACACTATCAGACACTGTTTGAAAGGCAAAATAATACATTATACATTTTCAACCAATCGTGTCCTTATTCTGTGAATAAAATTTAGTAAATGAATAATTTGAACCAAATTGCAAACAAAACGTTTGAATGCATAAATACATATTTTAAACACAGAGATAAACCCACCGTCCGTCTAGTTTTTAGACTTCTTGGGTCCTACTAATCCTATATATCTTGCAGAAGGTAAAAAGCCTTGGTGGTTAATCATTACATTCTTGTTGAACCAAGGGACTGACCACAAGGCACCAGACAGTATTTTCTACAATTGGTCATTTTTGGTCATAATGTTCAGTCGTTCAGTCATTAGAAACTGTCCACCATGTCCTGCATCAGCGTCCTGTCTCAGTGCATCTTACCCTTTTCCCTCTGCCAGTGCCCACCTCAAACCTATATGCCCAGCTCAACAGCCTACAGCTATGTGTGGACCCTGCAAGCCTGCTGTGGATCAATCTGTTTTCCCGGGGCCTGCTGCACACGCTGGATCAGGTCAAAGCTTTCTACCACTTGCAAGACAGTAATAAAGTGGAAGAACATGTAGACATTCGCATGGATGCAGCTCAGCTTAAGGTGAACCTTTTTCACTGTATTTTCATTTTGTCCTTCTGTTCCTCTCAGCTTGTTCACATAAAAGTCTCCAGCTTTATATGCTTTTTGTTTTTTCCACAGCTGATAATTCCTCTAGATTCATCCATATTGGACCACCCAGAACGTCCGCAGTCCCTGTCTGTTACCGTGCCCCAGCTGGTGGTCAGCAACACCCGCCACTGCCCTCACGGCTCCATGGCTGACCTCAGCAGCACCTTTGAGAAGTTTGCTAGCTGCTCTTTCTTCCAGAACACGCCACCTTGCCCTTACCCTCGAGATCAGAGTGCCTTCCACCCCGTCCCTCCCACATTCCTTCAGCGCTCTCGGGAAACGGATTCCCAGCCTCTGGACGTGAAGCGGCCGCGATCGGAGGATGTCTGGTCCCTCAGCCTGTCCCGTGTCGCGCTCGGTTTCGATGGAGCGCGGCGGTTCCCCAAAGGAAAAACCCAACCTTTTGTTGAGCCCTTCGCCATGTCCGTGTGGATGTGCCGGCCGTATGCCTTTGGGAGCCAATCCTCGTCTTCCCCCTCTAGCCCAAATGGAGCCCAGCACCTCTCCTCAGAGCCGAATTCTCTCCAGGAAGCCGCCCCGCTTGCTTCCTTCCACTTCCTGGCCCACACCATCACCCCGCTGAAGATGTGGCTCAACCACTACCAGTACGTGGCCCTTCTGAGGATGAAGGACGCCCTGACCCAGCTGGGGGCGGAGCTGAGCCGGGACGTACGCGGCGTAAAACAGGCTCACGGGAAAAAGACCAAACCGGTCACAGTGTGTCTGGCTCTGCTGGTGGACTCTGTGGAGGTGGGTCTCCTTTTACCCCCCGTCTGCACCGAGCCAGAAGGAGAGATCCCTCACACGCCAGAAACCGACAGCCCCAGCATGACGGACTCTGACATCTCCCCGACCCATCGCTCCGTCGACGCCATCTTTGAGGACAGTGGGCTGGAAAACGGCGTGTCGTCCACCAACGCGGGCGCTGCAGCAGGGGATCAGGACGAACAGGGAGGGGCGGTGGAGGAGGCGTGCGAGGCTGTGGAGGAGGAGCTGACGGCAGGGGAGGAGGCGCCCGTCCTCTCGCCACCCCTCTCACCCGGACCCTCCCCGGCCATTTCCCGTGACCCGTCCACCTTCAGCCTGGAGGGCGAGCTGTCCAGCGCCATCAACGTCACCAAGGATGTCACCAAAGACGCCATCAGTGCCTCGCTGGATCTGACAAAAGGGGCGTTTTCAATGACAAAAGACGCCTTCAGCATGCTGAGCCGGGGCTCCAGCGTGAGCAAATTGTTCACCACCCAGGGGAGGTGAGTTCCGTCTGAGTGGGTCTGCATGCTGAGCCTTAGCGTGGGACCCCCGCATGACAGGCAGGTGTGTGTTCACAGGGAACAAGGGGACTCCTCCCTGTCCACGCGCCAGCCAAACATGAAGCAGTCCTCCTCCCAGCAGTCCTTTGACAGCGCCATCTTGGATGGCAGCCTGCCCGATGAAAATCTCTCCGTCGACAGCGACTTCAGCGACAACTTTGTCGTTCTCATGGACTCAGGTGTCTCAATCCCGCCGCGCTTCCACCCACTTCGCTGTGGCACACACCCAGGTGGCCTCCGGTTTAAGTCTGTGTCGTGTTCCCAGAATCGGGTATGGAGTCCATGCGTCCCAACAACACACCCACTGGCAGCCGTGGCAGCCCGGCCCCGGGGACCGAGGGGGGGTCCTCAGCTGACCTCAGCAGCTCACTCTCCCAGAGCACCGAGGACCTCTCTCAAGACATGGTGAGTTCATTTAACTCTCGCCGTGCTTACGTCCTCACTTCAGCGATTCGAGTTGTCCGAATTTAATTTCCAACCTAAATGTTTTGTGTCTCCCAGTCCTCTGTGCTGTTGCTGGTCCTGAGCGGGACGGCTTGCACCATGGAGGCACAGGGAGAAGATCAGGTTGTGGCCGTTCAAGCGCAGAATCTGAACACTTTGCAGATGGGAAACGTGAAGCAATCAGACCTCCTGGCGGGTCTCCTGCAAGGTAGGTTGTCCCTTGGTTCAATTCTTGGTTCAAAAAGCAGGTAGAGGGAGAATTTATTGCACTTTGCACTGAATAGAAAAATGCAATTACCGATAATTGTTATTCAGAAAAGTTAGTGCTTTTGGCTGTGAAGGCTTGTTCCTCTCCGCAGCCCCAGGTGAACCCGTCCAGAAGCCGGGCATCAGGGGCTCTCCTGCTCTGTCCATGCGTGCGGAAATGGGTCCGTCAGCGGCGCAGCGCTCTGCTCTGGCTGAGTCACTGGGGTTTCTGGATGTGAGGGTGCAGGACTGCCAGGCAGAGCTGTTAGCCTCCACGGTGGCAAACATCGGTCCGTTCCTCGAAGACGAATTCAGCGTCGATGGTCAGCCAGTGAGGCTGCGCGTGAGCAATGTCTCCATCACTCTGAAGGTATTCCAGCAGGGTCCTTAGTGCTGTTTGTGCTGGTTTTCTCTTTAGACGTGATGATGACATTTGATTAAATGTCACACTGCCCTGTTTTGGCTGTACAAAGCTGAAAGGCACAGTGTTTGCACGTGCTGCCTTTGTTTAAGAGTCATTTTGATGAAATGTTGGCAAGTTGTTTTCATAATGCGTTAACTTAACATAACATCTTCGACCACAAATGTCTTTATTTTATTCAGGATGATGGTCCCAGGATCTACCCTACAGCCCCTCAGCCTGTCCCAGCCAGGTTCATCATAGATCAGCTGGTCCTCGAGCGAAGTGACGACGGCATCATGAGAGTAAAAGGTAGCTTAGAAAATGCTCGGTGGAAACCCCTGGTTTAACTTCTCTGCACCAGCTGTCACAGCTTTGCGGAAAAGTGAACAGAAAGTGCTCATCACCGTTTCCTTTGTATTTGCAGCTGAAGGCGCAGACCCTAAACCCTTAGCAGACGTTCCCGTGAAGCCTGGCTGCTCTGACTCCGCCCACCAGCAGAGTGAGGTAATGCAGACTAAGACATGTTCAGTTCAGTGAGTCTGCGAGGAAGATTGTGTTAATACTTTACTCACAATTCTGGCATTCTGACCTTTGCCTTCCCCACCAGCGCATGTGTCTTGCCTAGTTTCCGGAAAGCAAGAATCAATAGTTTTTGGGATAGGCACTTTGTATTGCCAGATATATCGAATTATTGTGACAGTAACTTACCGCCTAAATTAGAAATGTGTCAACCATAAAGTTACATTATTATACGATCAAACCTATTTTGGGGAAGACACATTTTTAACGTACATCTTAAAAACGCAGACACAACCCTGATGTTCTGTATCTTGTCAACAAAGAAATAAAGAGCAGAGATGCGTTAGGCCCACAGGACTGTGCGATGGCTCTGTGCTGGAAACCCACACGGCCACAGCTGGGGCTAACCAGTCCGCTAATCCTTTGTTTGCAGAGACAAACCCAGGACTCTCAGCTCTGTGATGCACAGGCTGCCCTCACCCAGGCCCTCATCGAGAGAGAGCGCCTCCTCCTGGAAGTCAGGAAGTACGACCCCACCTTTGCTCTCTGAGCCCCATGTGTTGAGAACCAGCTTATTCTCAGCATTTCTGGAAAATTCACGTGGAGATGAATCCAAACCACGGCTTAGGAATCTTTCCAACTTGTGCACACTCTTAAGGCAATTACATAAAAGCCACTAAAACTAACAAAGAGTAGGGGGACTCAGAAAAGGAACTTTATGGGTCCTGTAATGGTAGTTTTTCGTGCTGTAATTTTTTTGTTCGAATCTTGAAGTCTAAATATTCCTCACTGCTGTGCTAAATGCAAATTGTTCCAGTTCATTGCTCATCTAAATCAGTGTTGGCCATAAATTCATTGTGTGGTTTCAGTGTAAAACACAGCATGCAGGATGATCAAGCTTTAATTCTCTCCACTTAGTTATTTGTGTTACGGAAATATTAAGTGGAGTGTGATGCCAAAACCTCTTTTCACAGGCACTGCCAGACAGCTGCTATTCCGTTAGTCACATCGTACAAATCTTAATGTCAAGCATGCTTAGTGAATCGTGCGGATTTACATGTAGCACGATTACAGGTCGACAGTCTTAGAAAAGCACTAAGGTTTTTACTTTATTTTGCTGTTTGTTTAGATTTTGAAGTCTTGTTACAGTTGTGTTGTGAAAGGTAGAGAAAATGGTGCACTTTGAAAAAAAAAGTATTTCTATAGTTTTTTTTTGTCCTTTGAAAAAAGCATACCTCCACTGCTTTCACAGAGAAACCAGTGTGTCCTCTTTGCTTTGTCACCAGGTAAGGATAGTACCGCACTCCTATCTATGTCATAGTTTCCAAAAAGCCGGCTGCAACATTCCCTGGTGTTCTATCGCTCTGCAAGTTGTGAAATGTTTCTTTTATACTGTGAAACAATGTGCTTTGTGGGTGAACGTCTGCTGAAGGAAACACGCTTTTTTTTTTGCTCTCGATTGTGGCGAGCTTTGCCTACAGACTTATGATTATCTGGTCTGTGGAAAGGACACACCGAGCCGGATTTCTTTTTTTAAAAAAAGAAAGAAAAACAAAAGTGTTTTGTAGCTTGCCGGGTTACAGTGTATGGATCATGTTTCATGGACTTCGTGCTAAGTCTGTGTGTTGTTTTACTAGTTTACATTCATTTGAACATGTGAGATGTTCTTATTTATGCGTCTGTTGAAGTCATATCAGCCAAAGATGGTGATATTTCAAAAGAAATGTGTGGTACTGATAATGTAAGGTAAGTTCACCATGTTTACTGGAAAAAAATGACAATTTTAGTGACTTTGATCCTGATTTGTTGCAAGATTTTATCAAACAGCCCGTGGTGTTTCCATGCAAAAATCTCTTACACACTTGGGTTCCAACTACAAAGACAGTTTTGTTGATCAAAAACACCGTTTAACAACATGTTTGTTCTATGAAAATCAGATCTCTGTCAGTTAACCCCTACATAAAGGTTTTCTGTTGTTTTGTGAGGGATTTGCCTTTGGCTTTTCCTAATCCATTTTAATGGTTTCAAAGCTTGGTTTTCTAATCTTTGACTTCCATTCATAATGTTCAAAAGGCACGTGGGAGCCCTCTGGTGGCAGAAATGTTAAACAGCAGTTTCTTTTCTTACTGTAGTTGCCTTGCAAGCTGCAGGATTTGTATTCTTTAAAGCAATGTTATCTATTTACACAATAGACGGACTCCTTTGGTACGCTCCAGAAATGGTGAAGAACATTCACACTACTATTTTATTTACTTTTGATGTGAAGTTACGTTCTTCAGATGACTACCTATGTATCATGTATTTATACTCTTTCAGCTGCATGCAAACTAAAAAATCAGTCAGCTCATTCTGTAGATGTAGTCAAGCAGAAATACTGCCCAGTTACCTCAGTATCACCAATACACATAGATTTGAACTAGCTGTCTGTGTTTGTTTCTGCATGGCCTTAATAGACAAAGATGTGCTGGTACCCATTGAAGACGGCACACTGGTACAACATGTAGCCCAGACGTTCTCTCCTGTGTTAAGTAGCATCTCCATTCCTCTGATGAACTGGTGCTTTGAGTTATCTGTTACACTAGACTTCCTTTGTGCTCCAGAGCAGGCCAGGGTCCTCTGGGGTGAGTGAGCATCCCACTGCCAGCACCATGCAAAGAGCAGGTGAAGAGAGATCCACCGCCCGGTGTTTTTCTTTGCCAACGGTGCACGTGCTGAGCTGGTGTTGTGTTGTTCACGCCTGGTAGAGAATCCCTACTGTCTTAAGGTCAGCTCACTGGAAATGACACTCGTTTTAATCTCACTTTCAAAGGAATGCAGAAGATTTTCTGTGGAAATATTAGTCGTGTTGCGAATGTTGGAAACCAGTGGACACTTTTTTTTTTGTGAGTTGTGTACGACTACCTTGAATTTTGTATAGTATTAATCACTTCATTAAGACTAATATAAAACTGGTTCTGTGAACCAAGGCTATGATGTTGAACATATTTTAAGTGGGGAAAAAATAAATAAACCCATAAACACATTTTGGTTGTGCTTTTTTCTTCTTCCCGTTTCCAAAATAAAACAGTTTATTTACAAAAAGTAGATTACAAAATTGATTTGCTTGAAATTTTGAAAAAAAATAGTTTAAGTCTACCTTGTGTGGCTGTAAAAAAAAAAACTTAAACATTTCTAAACTAAACATGAACAAAAGCTTTAATAACAAAATGATACAACTATTTACATGTGTGTTGACCAGTTTAAGTGGTTGACTTCCAGCATTGACTGTTCTTTAATCATTCTTAGATAGAGCTTGATCAGTTAGATAATGGTTGTGATGTGTTTCACATGTGATGCGCCACTCTCTTTAGCCGCCTTTCTTCTTTGGGTCTCAGTGAAATATAATGTTTTTATACTTGGTGTTGGGGATCTGATCTCGACTCTTGAGCCTCCTCACTGCTTCCCTCATGTGTTTGGGCTGAAGCGGTGGTGTGTCTCCCCACTTCTCACAAACATCCAGCGCTGTAAGGGGAAAAAATTTTGAATTTAAATGATTACATTTGCAAAGAAAAATAAGCATTTGGATTTATCATGTCTCAGTCATTGGCTTAATAAAACCTTTTGCTTACCCTCTTCAACTATTTCCCCAGCAAAAACCTTAGCAATGCCAGACATTGCTATGACCACATTCTGGGACACTGATGATCCTGTTATGGACTGGATCAGCTGAATATAGACATGAAAAAGAAATACACATAAATCATTAAAAAGAAATTAAAGAATAAAAGGTTTTCTCAATTTTCAAATACTACTCACTCTTTTAATGGCAGCCTTTGGGAAGGCAGAACGTCTGTACATCTCGTAGCGATTCAGCTGCTCTTCAGAAAAGGATGACACCAAAACCCTGAATCATATGGGAGAGAAATGGCACAGCGGTGGAGGATGTGACTCAGGCACATGATTTCCAAACTAAGAATGAGGATCTGAAAGGTTGAACATGTCAGTCTTACTGCATCTTTTGTATTTCATCTTCATCAACCTTATGGCGCTTTTCCTTTTTCTTCTCTGGCTCAATCTTCAGTCGTTTAGAAGCGGGCTGACCAGATGTCCCCTCCTCTTCATCATCTCCTCCTGCTGCAGTCTCCTTTTGAGAGGGAGTAACCAATAACCATCAGATTCAGGCTAAATGAGAAATACACTACACTAAGTTTACAAATTGAAGCTTTAGCTCTGGGGTGTTGTCAATTTTCAGATGGGACAAAGTTTATGTGCCAGAATATGGAAATTTCCTTTTTCTAATTCTAAAGCATTACTCTGACTCTCAGCAGTAATATTTGGTCATATCATGGCACACTTCCACAGTGGTAAATGACAAAGTGTGACAGGGAGTGTTGCGTGATGATCTGGGGGTGATATATTTTTACAGTTCATGTGAGGACTGAACGGAAGAGGCACTCACAGCTTTGACCTCTGCTTTTGCCTCATCTTGGGAGGACGACTGTTTGTTTTCGTCGGCAGCTTTTTCTGAAACAAGTGGATGTTCAGTTATTTCGGTTTTATCATGCTCCTCACTAGAAGAAGCCGTCCTGTCAGAAGTATCTTCCGGTTTTTTCCGCGCAGGATCTGCCATGATCAGTCGATACCACGGATTCTGAAAACAAACCAAAAAACAAATTAACGGCAGTCTGCTGGAGAGTTAGCAACTGTTCGGCTTATTTTAGCCAACAACAGTTGCAAATGCTCTCATAAAATACGATTTATATAGTTCTACATTAAAATGAAAACATAGCTTTTACGTACCTTCTGTAAAGCAGCAACAAACAAGCTAACAGTAGCGGCTAGCTATCGTCCAGTCAATGGTTAGATTTGACTTATCAGAAACTTCCACATGACGTATTTATGTACTCTAAATAACTCAAACTGTCTCACTTAATGCACTTACAGAAAATACACACGTTCTGCTTCCTAAATACGTATAACTATTCAATAACGATGTAAATATAGCATCACAAAGCCAGTACTCTCAGTGTGTTACTAAAGCAGCAAACACGAATTTCCGCTTCCGCTTTGTACCAACTTTATTTACACTTTTTTCTGTCTGAGCACAGAACACACTCACAAGTTATCAATTAATGAAAGTTTTCTACTACAGTACACTACTTTTTCACCCGTTTTGAATGATCCGTTTACATACTAAAACGTAAGATAGTCACGTAAGAGCGTTTGAGTTCACAAACAATTAACACATGAACCTAGAATGCGTAATACATTATTTTTTAATTCACAATTATTCCAAACACAAAAGCTTTCAGTCTCATTTAAAGACTGAATCTTATGAAATGTTCGTGTTTCCACCCATGAAATTGGCAGGCATGTCGCCGTCCTGTTAAGCACATTTTCGTTAAAAGTCATTATTTACATTTTCCTCCTTGTAAAGCTATTAACTCTGTTGAATATGATAACATTTTTCTTTGAATGATAAGGAATGTCAACGTAAATATATAATAAAACTCAAAGTAAATAATTGAATGGAGAGGTTTGGAAATGTGTTGTGGACACTACAGCAGACTTCTAAAGCACTGGATGGGTCCGGCGCCTCTCTCCCTCCCGCTAATGAGTTGTCTGGAGGGCCGCCATCTTGGCTCGGCCCGTCCGGGCTGTGTGAGGATCAGCAAGAGGGGGGCGGCGAGTTGGAGCCGTGTCGGTGCGCGTCTGAAGGCTCTCGGATTGGAGATGCAGAAAGAAAGGGCCGTTTCAAGGAAGTGACGGACGACGCTCGGAGGACTGGTCAGAGGAAGTTTGCTCGGTAGTGGTGCCGTGCTGCTCAAGGAAACTTTCCCCCCCCCTGCGCGCCAGCAGCCCCGCGGACCGGGACGGACGGACGGACGGACGGACGGACGGAGCCCGCGGCGGAGGGAGCTCCCGTTTCCCCGCCACATTACCCGCTCCTCCGAGGAATAACTTGAGGCCGGGAGAAAGAGAGAGGGTCGCGGAGGAATTTCATTCCCACAACCACTCCCACCTCTCTTTCCCCCCCTTTCCCTCTCTTCCCCGCACCTCCTCCGTTTTTTTTTTTTTTTTTTTTGGGATACGCGATGGGGAAAGAGCAGGAGCTGCTTGATGCGGCGCGCACGGGGAACCTGGCCGCCGTGGAGAAGCTCTTATCCGGGAAGAGACAGTCCGCGGGCGGGTCGTCCGGGACCGGCGGGAGCTCCAACAGCGGCGGCCACGGAGCCTCCTCTCATCCCCTCTCCAGTCTGCTCAGGTAGGGTCTGGGGAGAGGGGAGGGAGAGGGAGAGGGGGGGGTAAACCGGAGGTAATGGGAGCCAGCCGGCAGCATCGTGTCTGTCAAACAGCGTCCATTCTCTGTTTGCTGGGGCTTAACATTGTGCACGCTCGGTCAAAGGCGGCGTTGTTGTTGTTGTTGCTTTATTTATTTATTTGTTTGTGTCTTGCCAAACAAACGCAGCGTAAAGCGGTTGCAGGGGCAGCGGCACGCTTCTTTGTTAGCTCACAGCTCCTGTGTTCCTACCTAGCTGTATTCCAATAGAATAACTACTTTCCCCCCGTACAGATAAAAGTGGGAAATCTGCAGTTCAACGGAAAGCGAGCTCTAGTGAAACTGCCAGAGATGCATTAATAATGTCTTACTCATGGACCTGGACTAGCTTTGTTGACTCTTAAGAATTAAAATAACTAGTCAGGATGAGGTTTTCCTTTTAAAAATTGGAAATGTTTTATTAAGGCCCACCTAGTTTCCTTCCTCGTGTGTGTGTGTCTGTGTGTGTGTGTGTGTGTGTCTGTGTGTGTGGGTATGAGCTTTTCATCTTTGACTGTGGTCACAGTGGGAACTTTTCACTGATGCAGGCCCAGTTTATGTGGCTTCTGTTTCCGCATCATAAAAGACCTGCTGGGCAAGGTTTGGGACTTTGAGTTCATCTGCTGAGGCTCCTTTCTACCTGCCACCAGTGACTCTGCTCACTACCTCCTTAACAGCTCTGAGTTATGCATCACAGAAAAACAAAATACATCAGCCTCAGTGGGTCATCTTTTTTAAAGTTGCATGATGCGTGTGTGTGTACATGGTATGAGGTGTGGGGTTGCCGGCTGCATCAGGAGCTCAGCCTTTCCAGCGTGTTGCTCTCTGGGCTGAGGGCAGAAGCTGCTAGCGTCAGAGAAGAAGATGAAACAGCAGATCTGATAAGTGCAGTCTCATTTTGGCCAGCAGATGTTATCTGAACGGGAGGCCTTCTTCTACCAAAGGTGAAACGTACTGTCCCCCAGCAGATGTGCATTGTCATGAAGCTTGTCGGGTTGAAATAGCACTTTTTTCCCTAATATACAGCACCTACTGAGACATTAAAAGTAGCCTGTTTTTGGATACTCATGGTGGTTACCCGCGTTACCCCTCTAAAGGAGGGCCGTTCGGCCCAAACTCCAGGCCCTGCATCGCCGTTTGACTCGCTGCAGACCTCACGACGAGCCCCGGGTAATTACATTAAACTCGTCTAATCAGAAATCCAATTCACAGATGCGGTGCGGTCCAGGCTGACTCGGCCTTTCGCTCGCAGGTCTGTGGGTGGACCCAGCAGCCCGTTGTGTCATCCGCTCCGTCTTGGGCAATCAATGTTTGGCAACGAGAACCCCGGGAAGCTATTGGCCACCCCGTGCAGGAAATGAAGGAGCCATGGGCCCGGAGCCTGTTGCCTCTCAGACTCCTGCTTTTACGGGCCGGCGGGGTGAACAGAGGCAGTATTGAGCGGGGGGAGCTCGCGGGATTGTTGCTGCTGTGTATGACATTTGATTTAGTCCGCATAATGAAAATGTCAATACGTCTTTGGGCATTACAGTAAGTTGCCACGGCGGTGCAGGCTGTGGCTTTGTTTGTGTGTGTGTGTGTGTGTGTGTATTTCTTTAGCTGAATCTATTTGTTAGCCACTCATCATCTTTCGTCAGGACGTGTCGGCCTGTAATCCCATTTGTGGAGATTTGATCCCTTCAGCTTCCACTTGTTTAGAAAAAAAAAAGGTAACAATTCAGGTTGTTGTCGTTTTTTTCTCCAGATACTGTCGCAGCACGACAGGTTGCACGTGCAGGTCGTAGTCCACCGTTAGATCCCGTTTATGGTGCACATCCATGCCCTGGGAAACAGTCCTCCCTGTTCTTTAAGGTGTGCGGCGTGCGTTTCCAATAGATTGTTGGCGTTCTTTCCCTGGAATGGGGCGCAGGTTGGGACTTGCAGTGTTGTTGTAGCCAGGCCGTTGCACAGCCCTGCTCTGCGGAATGCCTTCTTTCCCGGGGGGGCCGCGTCCCGGCCGTTGCCATGGGATAGACGCCCCCCCCACCACCCCCCTTTCCCCGCCGTGTTGACACACCGACGCCGCCCCCGAACATTTGTCTGGTGGCGCTCCGTTAAATGAGGCGGGCAGGGCCGGCTCCACTAGTGAGGTCAAAGTGAAACCTTTTGACGAGGGGGGGGGGCATGCGCTCTCCCTGCTTCCTTGTTGTGTCTTTTTGACCGCGTTTCGGCCCCGGCGGCGTCCAGCCAGAGTCTCTCAGCAGCCCTCCCTGTCCCACGCCGCTCAGATGCAGGCAGCTGCTGCAGCTGGACCGGAGGTGAGGCCAGTCCCGGACAGCCAGAGTGCTTGCCCACTGAGGGGAAATTAACAGAGGAATGCACGGAGTCCTGGACAGGCCCTCTAAGAGCTTAGCCAGATGAGGGCTCCTCTCCCAGCTTCACAGCCACGTCTTTTGTCCTCCCCGACAAAGCGCAGAATGCTGCTTTTCATATTCATATCAGGCCCCAAAAGACTGTCCAGGGACTTTTCTATCCTTTTTTTTTTTTTTTTAGTTTTTCAAAGCAAATTGAGCTGTCATGTGAGTAGAATTGGACCACCTATTTAGAGGAGTCTTCTCATTTGGGTCAGTGTTTCCTCATTTCTGTGGGCTGTCACGAAAACAAAGGAACTTTTGAAATGTCTGAAGTTCAAATTTGATTTCAGACCGTTCCAAAAGTCCCTTTTAACTATAGTTTTTTTTTTCTTCTTCTTCCTCATCTATTCTCTAAATGCTCTCGAATAGAGGTTATTTTTTATTTTTATCAGTAAGCATCTAAAGAGGTTTCGGGCACAGCTCCAGATCATTCCATCCCGTTACATTCACAGTTTCTGGCTCGTCCCAGGCAGAGCCGTGCTGTCAGACTGCTGTCAGCTGAGAGAATATCTGCTGCCGGAGAACAAGCGCGGTGCTGTCCTTTTTAGGATCATAAAAAAAAGAATCCCTCCGGTGTCTCCTTTTATTAGGGCCTGTATGCATGCGTGTGTGAAGGTGCACCATACGGGCGATTCGTCTTCAATGACAGGCTCACAGCGGGGTTCTCACACCCCTAAATCCTCCACTCTGCCTCTACAGAAACACTGAGAGCAGCCCGTGCAGACGGGGTGTTAGCCAAGCAGTTTGTACCACTTGTCCTTCAGATTGCTGCGTGTTGAAGGCGGGGGGGGGGGGGGGGTGCAAATGCCGGAGTGGCGCTCGCAAGTCTTCATTTGTTGACCTCTGAACTGGGAGAAACTTCAGCCGCTGCAACTCAGAAGGCAGCCGTGTTAGCCGGGAAACCTAACACCGCCGTGTTAGCATTCCGGCTGCCGCTGAGTTTTGGGATGCTCCGCTCTGCACCGTGTTTACGGCTCCTGTTTGTGTAGTCTGAGAAAGGATGGGGGGGGGGGGGGGAGGATTCCAGTAGCAATGAATTCCACATATGTGCGCGTGGGCCGGAAGCAGAGATAAAACACGTCCAGTGTCCTGTCCGGTCTGCATGCTTTGCACTGGCCCTCATCATGGTCATCTCCAAATGCTTTATTAAGGGGGTTCGGTGATTAGTGATTGGATTTGAATCTGTCTAGAATAGTACGTTCATCCTTTGAACATCCCCAGCTGTGCAGATGAAGGAACTGATTTCTGCAGAGCCTCCTGCTTCTGTGTCTTCTATTATTAAAAAAAGCTGTTGTTTACAGTTCCAGCGTTGCTGTGCTTCCTGTTTTAAATCAAAAGGAAAGTTGCCTCGAGTCATCCTGCAACCCGTGCTCAATAACTGGCTATTAAGCATCTTTCTCTCCAAACTCTGAGCATCGTCCCCGACAAATGCTTAAGTTGGAGTTTCTGAGATAGACGTGTCTGTCAAAAAAGGAAACCACAGCCACATTTTTATCTTCTTCTTCTCTTTTTCTTTTAAAAACCCGCATGTGTTATTGACCCTGGCTTTTTCACCCGTCCAGTCTGCCTTTCTGTGGCTCCCTGCTTCTCTCAGCAGTCTCATGCCCACCTGCTGGGCTCTGCTCCAGCTCCCACTCTGCCTTCAGACTCCGATCTCACATTTGGATCAGGAGTTACTGGTTCTGTTCTCAGTGTGTGGACACAGGAAACCTTTTAGCCCGGACGTTTTCAACATCCCACTTTGCTTCGCTGCTCCTCCCCTAACAAGGTAAAGGAAAACTTCCAGCTGGATTGAGCTGGATTATGAATAGGCCGTTCAGTGGGAACGAGACAGCCACACACCCACTTCCATATTCACACAAACTCAGTGTCAGGTGAAGGTGAGGTGGAGATAGGTTTGTGGTCAGAGAAATGGCCTCAGAGGAGCATTTTATATCGACAAGAGGCCTTATAAGTCGCACTATGCAGTTTTATGTTTTTAAGTGAGTTGTTACATTACCGAAAGAAACTGTTCTTTTATTTCCTGTCACAGCAGAAACTGAAAGCTGATGCAGTCCGGCCAGCTCTGTCCGGCCAGCTCTGTCCGGCCAGCTCTGTCCGGCTGGGTTTTTGCTGTGAAATGGGTGTGTGGGAAATGATGGAAGTTGGAGTGTTCCAATTTCTCACCCCGTCTGATCCCTCACTGCTTTCTTCTTTCCCTCTTTGTGCATCCCACATTTCCAGTCTGCCACCAGCGTTTTTCTCTCCCCCCACCCCACCCCTCCCTGTTCTGATTCTGCTGGATCCAGCTGGCCAGCTCTGATCACAAACGCTGGGCATATGCGGTTTGTTCACACCTCCTGCTGGAACACAGTTGCTCTGTGAAATGCCCGCTGTGGTGATATGAGCCATGAAGACTAAATCAGGCTTTGTTGGGAGGGGTGGGGGGGGCATGGTGACATACAAACTCCGTCTTAATTGCGAAGATTTCTAAGTAGCTTTAAATGGTTTACAAGAACTAAAAAGAAATTCCGTGCGACCTTAAAAAAACCCTGAGCAGATGGGGCCTGCCCAACAGTCAGTGGATCAGTGGATAAATTGCCGTGAAATTGAATACATACATTTCCAGTGGCCAGAGGGGGAATCATGCTACCTTTAATGACTCTTTGATAAGGTTGGCCTTTATGGCTCTGAATGTACCCCCAGGCTGCTACTGCAGTAGTTTTCTCCGGGTCCAGACATTCAGGAGACCTCAGGATCTTTGCTAATTAACCTTAGGGAACCCTTCAATATTAAGCTTTGGGAACACCTCTGGCATATTCCCTGTGGAATTTCTGCACAACCAAACACATGACACACCCACACACTTATATATATATATATATAATCCGTTAAATTATTCGTCTAATTGTTCTTTAAAGCCACCCTTTTTTTTCCTATGCTGACCATATAAATGGAAATATCCATGATGTGAGGCAAATGCTGAGTTTGTACCATACTAATGAGCATGGAGTGAGTATTTACGATGACCCCCATTTATTTCCTAATACAGCGTGAACCCTTATTGCACTCTTTGTGGTATTTCTTTTCCGCCAGGGGCTGATTGGCCTGTTTGTCACATGGTTACATAGCGACTCTGTCGCGTGAACTCCACCCATTCTAAAGAAAATTCGGAAACAACTAACGATTGCTGTCATCACTTCTGTTATCGCAAACATTTTACACTCCAAATACAGGAGCCAACACTGCGGTCCAACACCGAAGTTCATTGATACTGTTGTCTCGTGCTTTTGTCGCATATAAGTGACGTCACGCACCGGCCGGCCTCTCTCTGTTTGGCCATAATTTCTAATGGATAAGCACCTATGCCGGTGGAGCCCTGTGGAGTTAAACCGTGTAAGGCTGAGTGGACACTGCTATAAAAGCGCCAGGGTCAAGATTATTACTGGACTGAAAAGCATGAAACCATCTGCTTTAGATGGGAGTGCTTTTTGGCGTTTTTTGGTTTCCCCTGTATGTTCAGTTTCCTTAAAATATCAATTAGGGATAAAGTGCAAAACTTAAATCTTTAGGTGACCTTTCATGTGGTTTGACAAGCGCTTTACAGCACTATAACTGTTATATTTGGGGTATTTCGTAGATGCAAATGAATAACTGGAAAGAAAACGGTATTTGTGACATGTGGCCATATGTGATTGAAAACTGGTTTATCCCGTAGTTGGTTGACTGCTGATGTGTGTGTGTGTGAGACTTAAGGACCAAGGGAATTTTAAAAAATTGAAATTTCAAGGCCTGGCCTCTTGGAAGCAGAATGCGTGGTGTTGGAGTGTGTTTCCCTCTTATCAGGCCCGGGGAGCTCTGGCTGCCGGGTTAGTCCCCGTTGAGATGGAGATGCTCAGGGTGTGTGTTTGGCGGTAAGGCCTCTGGTCTCAGCACCTGCCAGCAGTGCGTATAATTAAACCCAATTTCCCCGACGGTGGTCCACACGAGCCACTCGCGGCCGGGCGCAGCGCCCCGGGCCAGACTAATCCCTGGCAGCTTGGTCACACGGCTAATAGGCTAGAGGACAAATCTGTTTATTTGACATTAGGTTTCTTACTCACCTGGGTTCCTATTTGCTTTAAGCCACCACTGAATTTTTGCTTTGTCTATACACCCCCACCCCCCCAGGGCTCCATAGACAAACACAGTCATAGATTGGTCCCTCTGGAATCGCTGGAGAATCTCTGCCTGAGGGTGGAACAGATTTCCTGTGTATTGTGGACATAATGGGATTTCTTTTTTGTTTGTTTTTGTTTTTCTTTCTTGATTTTGCTGACTTGCTCACGTGAGTAGGATTTGCAAAATGCTTTCAGAGTGTCGTACAGGTTTAGTCAAAATTTGACTTTAAGTTGAAGATGAAACAATTTGGGATTTCATAAAGAAAATAAAATGCATAGTCTTGGAGATTTTAAGTCAGTTGACTAATATCTGCCGACAATTTGTACAAACCGAAACATGTCATTGTGATTTTTTTCTCTTTTAGTAACCGGACTTTGCACAAAACCAAATTACAGCCTCCCCCCCCACCAGAATCTCTTTCAAACTCCAGCTTCATCCCGCTGATATTCCCTCAGGCAAATGAAGGATTAGCTCAGCCTTTCGAACAGGAATTCCTCCACCAGTTCCCATGAATGTAAACCACCCCCCCCCTCCCTTCTTCCAAACCAAATCAACTCTGTTTTTGCCCATTGCCCAGCTATGGGGCTAAGCCCCGTCCCTCACTCAGGGTCGGTTGTGAGCCGTAGTAAGAGGATGAACTGGATTGTGGAGCAGCGCTCTGACTCATGCCCTTGAGTGCCACGCTGCCAAAACGCGGGAGGACGTAACACATGTGCCACTCTGGGAACTGCTGGCAGCCCTCCTCAGCAATCCAAAACACTGGGACATGAAAAAAGAAAATCTGTAGTGAATATAGATTTTTACTACCTCTGTGTGTTGTGTTTATTTAGGATTACTAACTGTTTCTGTCCCTGATTGGAAGTGCAATATTACACCAGCAGAACGTGCTCCGGTTGGGTCACGAGGCACACATGGCATAATGCCTATGATGCTACACATGGACTTCTGGAAGCTCTCCTTTTTTTCTAGTGACGCATCACAATCATGACTGCTGATAGCCAGCGGGTCAGGAATTTTTCCAGCAGCTCTAGATTTTTTTCACACTCGATGGCTTCACGTCAGAGTGGGAAACCGTACCTCTGTCCCAGGATGAATGTCCCATGCATTGCACAATGCAAAGCTCGCCAAAAGCCTTAACCTGGACTTGGTTGGTCTTGACCAAAGTGCAGAACAAGGCTCTCACTCAGTGCAGAAAGATGAAAAAGTCTTGCTGATTGGCTGTGTGATCTGGCCTTACTTCCCTTTGGGTGTTTTTATGCTATAGTCTTCCACAGCCCCTGCTGTCTTCATGTTTATGTTAATTTGTGTATGGGACTTATTTTTTCTTTTTTTTTTGCTCTTACCAGTTATATAACTCTTTATCTAGGGCAGAGACCAGAGGTCCGTTCCGTTTCTGTCTCAGTTTTCACTTTGAATCACCCCCCCTTTTTTTAAAACTACAAATAGAGGAGAGGAAGTGTATGCATGACGCCTTAAGAGCTGACTTAATCGGCGCCTGGACATTTGTCCCCCCCTCTCCCTAACAGAGTTAGCTGTCCCCAGCATTTCCTCCCGTTGCATCCCATTTGCAGAGTTGTTTAAACCGAGCACAGCTTTTGATGTCCCACCACTGTGTGGCTCTCTGACTTGTTCGATGAGACCCAGAAGGCCGGCCTCAAGAAGAGCCGAGCTTAGGCTGTGTGTAGCCCAGCGGTGTGTGTCTGTGCTCCGTCAGGCCCATTGTTCTGCCGGCTTCAGAGCCTCACAAAACACTTATTTAATGAGACGGGCCTGACTGTGTAATTGCAGGCTGCTCTGTGAGAGCTATTATGGGAGATGTATTTTAAGGGGGCAAAACAGCCATTACTGCGACAAAAAAACGAGCCGCGTGTGTGTGTGTGTGTGTGTGTGTGTGTGCTTGTGTGTGTGTGGTTCAAAGACAAGCAGTCGATGTGGGGACACTAAGAAAAGCTGTTGTCACACCCTCTGCGCACTGATGTTAAGATCAGCTCATAATTTGTCTGGGAATTTGATCAGCCGCTGCAGGCTGTGTGATATGATGTTTGGCCTCTCCAGGAGTTTCATTCATAAACTTTCTTGTGCCGAAGTCGGAGCGAGGAAGACGTATTTCACGCCGGCCCTCAGACCGTTTCCTATGAGAAATCACAGGTGAATCCCACGATAAGGGAAGAAGACGCCTCCTTGATGTCTGAATCTGTGTGAGGCCCGAGTCATTTGCTCCAATTCTGTTTGTGTATGGCAAACGGCTGCCATGTCTGGGATATTTGGTTCACTCGTGCTGGGATTTCACGCCTCACATGATTTATTTAGGATGTGCTGAAGTCTTTCAGAGGGCTTCACATCCCATCTCAACTCTGTGTTTTCTCTAGGCAGCCTTTAGCTCTCGGCCCACATCACTGCAGGGTTTTTTTGCTAATGAACAGGAACCGGTTTAAGCTTGTGTTTGAATTCAGCCCAACTCAATGGAAGTTTTGGACAAACGCTTAATGGCGAAAGCTTGCTCTGCTTAGGTTTTTTTTTCTTTTTTCTGTTACCTTTCTGGTTTCTAGTGCCGTCAGTCTGGTACATCCTCATTCCTGCTGTCTCTGGAGTGTGCGTGAGGATTGGTTCCCACCTTTATGCTGATGGGGCCGGGCTGTGTTGTAAGCTTGTAACTCTATGTGATATCCATCTCAGGGCCTCGGGTTGTAGGTCGCACCCACTGTTGCAGAGGGAAAGGTGCTGTTTGTTTGACACCCACAAAAAACTGTTGTTTTTTCCTGTATGCATCAGGAAGTGTTTAGAAAAAAAAGAAATCATCCGGTTCAAATAGGATTCTGATACGGAGGAAAATCAACCTAAGAACAGCATGTTACAGTCTCTCACATGACTATGGAGGAAACATTCTTCACAGATTTCCTTCATTCTGTTAAGGTTTGAAGGTGTTCCTCATGCGCCATTGAGTCGGGGCGAGGTTTTGGACTTTGGCCGGACCGCTGTAACCCTTTGGTGCGTGCTGCTGTGCGTTACGGTCAAATGGGACATAGTTCCAGAGCTCTTGTGGGTTTGCTCTCGTACCACTTTAGAAAAACCTAAACTGTGCCGCCACGTTCTTTTTTTGGCAACCCTTCCGAACCACCTGAGTACTTCTGAGTGGCGTACGGCCAAAAAAGACAAACAATGAAGTAAAAGCATTAGACCAGCAGGGCCTGGCTTCTGCTCTCACCGCCTTAAACTGCTCGGATGCAGTTAGGGTGGACTTAATGTTTCACTCACTGTGAGACACGCCAAGTGCTCCTGTCTATCTACGAAGTACATGAAGCCAATCTTTTCTGTGAGGTCCGGTGTTGCATGTTATTCAAGCCTAACTGCCCTTTTTCTATTCATAACAGCATCTGGAGAGGGCCCAATGTGAATTGTGTGGACAGCACTGGATACACCCCTCTCCACCACGCAGCACTAAATGGACACAGGTAAACTGAAGCCAGTGATTGACCGCATGCATATATATATGTGTTTTGTTTTTTTCCATTTGAAGCTTTTCTGACCAGCTCTGATTCCTCTCCCCTGCAGCGACGTGGTGGAGGCGCTGCTACGGAACGAGGCCTTGACCAACATCGCAGACAACAAGGGCTGCTACCCGCTCCACCTGGCGGCGTGGAAGGGAGACGAGCATATCGTGAAGCTTCTCATTCACCAGGGGCCTTCGCACCCCAAGCTCAACGAGCAGGTCTGCCGCCGCGTCAGCGTGCATGCGTTTATTTCGGTCGCCTTAGCAGCGGTGGTTTAGTTTGTCCAACGCGTTTCACGCCTTGGCGTCGTCCTTCTCTAAAAAGCAAGTAGTGTGGCAAACAGTCAGTTCAGTGTGTTGGCGTGCGTTGGCGTGCAGAAGACACCAGGACTTTGTTGCAGCACCATAGCAGTCATTTCGACAAGATTGCACTTTGGTCTTCATCACATATATGTGTGTATATGTATATACTGTATATATATTTTTAAACTCTGGTTGTGCATCGAGAGGCTGAAAAGAAGCTGAGCGAAACGCCACATTCAGATCCTCTGACTGCAAACCCCTAGCCCAGCATGGCATGATCTGTATGTGAGCCGAACATGTAAAAAAGCCAATGCATTAACCTCAGTGCATCATGAGGCTGACCTCACACTTGATAATGTGATACTTGAAGTGCTTTGATGCTGCACTAGTGTGAGAAGTGCTCCTTTCCTCTAACCATTTTAACTGCTTTAACTCTTGTTTTTGAAATTTGATTTGGTTGCTTAATGCACTGACTGTAACCACCTCTGACCTGTCCTGTTTGGAAAGTGGAGAAATGACACATTATGAGCCCCTTTTTGCCTTTTTCTTTTTTTTTTCCTGTTGAAACGTTGCATTTTTAATGAAATAACTACACCCAGATGTGTTGTCTCTCATTTTGGGTCATTTCCTCCTTCCCATTCATGTCATCTGATTGTTCTTTAACTCAACTCTGATTTTTTTTCTCCCTTTTATTTAGTTTGACTCATTTGCGATCATCACTCATTCATTCATTGCTTGTCTGAACCGAAACCATCGACTATCTCCTCTTCCTCCCTCCCAGAGCTCTGTAGAGCATAAAGAGTTCAAACGCTGTGGGCCCTTTGACCCCTATATTAATGCCAAGGTGTGTACACAGTGCTGCCGAGACCAGTGTTTCCTCTTGAAGTGCTCCTTTGCTTTATTGCTGTGTTGGCTTGCTGTGCCTGGGTTTGTGTTGTTGCTGCTTCTTTGGGGTGGGAGGGGGGTGGGCGGGGGGCTTAACCGGCCTCAGACGTATGGGACAACATTTCTTTTCTCTCACTATCTGTGGATCTCTTCCCTCTGGCTTTATGTCCATGTTCACCTGTGAGTTCCCACCTCACAAAAAGCTCTTTGCTGAATGTTACAGTGCTGCTGTTCCAGCCTTTTTATTCAAACTGGAAAGTTTAGGAAAACGCCCCAGCAGGTGATTGCAAGATAAATTTAATGAGCGTTACGCATCAACAGGTCGGACAGCGGCGGTGATGTCGCTCGTGCGCCGCTAACAGAAACCAAAGGTTATGTAAGAGGAGGCCAGGCAGAACCAGAAATGACTGGGACAGAAACTGCTCCTGAGTCAGCTGATGTGGCAGCAGAAGCCTCTGTATCGCTGAGCAGGAAACAGCTTTTTTTAGGCAGGGGTTAGTGTTTATTTTTGTTTTGTTTTTATGCGTCTTTAAAGTCTTTAAAAAAAATTTGAAAGCCATTTGGACTGCTCTAAACTTGAACATATACATAGGTACATAGGTACTTTACATCACAGCAAAAACTTTGAGATGTACGCACAGCCCGAAAGCTCTAATTGCATCCTGAAAATTGTATTTTTGGCCTCATCTACAATATAATGAAATAACAGTGTCCAAGCTTGACGGAAAGTTTCTTAGAATGACTCTGTATATTAATAAGATTATTAGAAATAACCGGCCGTTTCAGTTGGGTGTTTGGGATATTCGTGGTCAGTTGGTTTCTCTGAGCAGTTGTTGTAGAGGCATCAATAGTTTCCAGACCCTCTCAGTCATTTCTGGGATGATTTCTGGGTTTTTGTGGTGGAGAAATTCAAAGGTCCTTGTTTCTGCATTGTTTTTTTTTATTGTTTTCAGGACTTGAGAAGTCAAGTGGCTTCATGGCACATGATCTGCAGCAGGAGGTCATACAGGGAAAAACGACAGTTCCTTCTTCTTCAATTTGTATCTTCCCTTTAAAAAAAAAAAAAAGAGGTTTTCCTTACTATGAAACAGGTGCTAATCTGCAGATGTTAGCGGGTATACTAAGCTGTTACACACGCTTAACAGTGCTGTTATTTTCAGCGCAGCGTGCCCTTACAGGGAAGCTAGCATGACTCTTTTTGTTAAAAAAACAGCTCTTATTACAGTCGGCTGCTCAGGGAAGCCCCTGTCGCATCCTCCCTCTCCGAAGAGGATGGCAGGGGGCGGCGCCGTGGCCCCCGGCTTCACCTTCACGGGTGGTGCAGCCCATTATTCTGCAGGTGGAGTCTGAAACCCACCCTGGCCTGGATAGCTATTTCGGTACAATGTCACATTTCCCTTCCGCTAATCTTCTTAGCGTTTGATGGGGAGGCTGGCTGTCTTTGATGCTGCTACACTGTTTGGGAGCCGTCCCGCTGTGCGCACTTCTGTTTCCGTCCGGTCCCGAATTTGACAGCGGGCGGCTATTTTGAGGGATGTCTCGATGTTCACACTTTTGGGATAGTTCAGGCGCCTCCACCTGCTCATGACACCTGAATAATTGATGGCCTGTTATGAATAAATTAGAATGGAGGACATGATGTTTTTGGCTGGTTGTGGTTGATGGCGTCATGTGACTGGGTGGGAGGGGCACATTCTGCTTCTCCTAACATCCCGGGCCAGGACCTGAGTGCCATCTCAGGAGGAGGAGGAGGAGGAAGAGGAGGGTGGGAGGTTTTCAGTGTACCGGTCCTTTTGCATCAGCATCAAAGAGACATTGCCATGCTGCTCCTGTCTGCGTGAGTGCCTGAGTGGATGTTCGACCCCCGTCCCCCCCCTCCTCCTCCTCCTCCTCCTACCTCCCAGTTTGTGAGCCGACGAGAGGAATTGGTGAGGATGTTGTCATAGTAACGGTGTCATGGTTTATTGGTCCTATAGCCTTGGTGTGTGTGTGTGCTTACTCACAGTGTTTGGAAGTGCGGTGAGGCTTTGGGGTGCTCACAGAGGAGAGTGTTCGTCAGTCCCCCTTTAGGGTCCCTGAAGAGACCACCCTGGACCGGGTCCAGCTCTCTGTAATGCCGGCCCAGGAAGCCAGCTCGACTAATGTCTATTCATTACGCCCCTGTGCTCCCTCCTACTGACGCTGTCCTCTGTGGGACGGCCTCTTTGATGATAGTTCAGATGCCTCCGCTGGCCTTAACCGTTGACAGTATGATCTGGTCAGGAAGCCTCCTCTGCCCGAGCGCTGCCGGGTCATCAGCAGGAGATGCTAGACGATTTTTTAGTAAAAATGATAAAGGCTTAGATTCCAGGGCTGAAGCTTTTTTTTTGTTGTCTTAATAGCAAATTAACAGATTTGAGGCTTAAACTATTGATTGTTTGCTGCTTCAGAGCATCATTATGTGAATAATGTGTTTCTTGGTATAACTTTACAGCTCTGAACTATCAATGGTAGAAGAAAATAGATCTTATATAATTGTATAATTTGGGAACATTCAAACTATTTCTGTTATTTTAATTTGAAGTAGAAAAGGCCTTTTTTTCTCAGATTTTTATCGTACCATATTAACGCAGGTTCCATCAATTTAAAATGATTTGATTATCTTCTGACACCTGGGCTGCACATTTAACAAAAAAACACAATGACTGCTTTAAAAAGTGTTGGAAGATCTTATGTGAGACAGCTGATTTGTATTGAGACAAATCTTTTGAAACACAATGCCGTTTTTGTGGAAACCTTTTGTCCAGGAGGCTCGCATGTGGTCTTCATTCAATCATCCCTTATTACTGACCTTCTTTTGGGTAATTATCTTCTTCTCCATACATGATTCCGCGATAAACAAACTTGTTTCCTACTGCCTTTTGCCCCGACCTCATCTCCCTATATAGGTCATGCGTCTAATACACTACGCTGGTGATTACCAACCCAGCTGTGCTGCACACGCGTCCCCGCTCACGCTCTCACATATCAGAAGCAACGCTGGAAGATTTCAGTTGAAGGCAGCGGTGACATGACTTTATAGGTTCGACTGGATCATACACACAAATGTTCTTTTTAGACCTCGCGTACACTTTTTCAAACCCGGTCACCTCGTCCTGGAGGTGAGCAGTTTCCCCCTCCCCAGGCACGGTGTTTGAAGTGACTGCACATTAATTTATCTCCTCTGCCCGTCACATCGCCGTCCAGCTCCCGCCTCATCAACTCATCTCACTCCTTTCCCCAACTTAGGCCGTGTGCTCCCCCTCCGGGACACTGCTCTCATCCCTTTTTGGGACAAAAAGCGGTCGGAGCGTGCTTGAAGAGCCCCAAAGGGAGCGTGTTGTCATGTGACAATAGAATCAGCATTTTCTTGCACATTTTAAGGGGGCGGGAGGGAGGACTTGTTCCAAGACGTAGACGGATCCGCATAACGGATACAATCAGCTTCTAAGACATTATGTCTGAGAAGATTAAAGGGAAATCATTTGGAAAGTGGGCTCTGTTTATTTTTTAATGAAATGAAGAGGGAATGATGGTTCAAGTTCCTTGCTCGCAGAATCACAGCCAGTGGCAGGAGGCCAGTGAGCCGGCCATCTCATTACAGGACTGCAAAGCTTGTTTACTCTGGAATGTGGAGTGTTCAAATAAAGATCCACGAAAAATTTCAAACACAATTACCCAGAGAATTTATGGCGCGCTCGCAGATGCTGAGGAGAAGCAGGCACTCAGAGACTACCATGAAAATTTTAAAAGCCGGTGCTTAATAATGAATAGCCAATAGCCCCATGATAAATGTAGATATCGCTCACAGGTTGAAAGTGGCGAGGAATCCCTCTGATCTGATCTGTGATTTCTCTGAGCCAGCAGGGTTTCGCACAGTGACAATGGACTCTGGCATACACGGAGAACAAGCGGCCCTTTGGCATACTTGCTGCAACAGCTGCTAACCCCTGCCCCTCCCTCTC